AAGGTTTGGTTTAGAATTTAGGATTTGGATTAGGATTTTGTTAGGATTTATTTAGGATTTATTTAGGATTTAGGGTTTGGTTATGATTTACTTAGGTTTTATTTAGGGTTTAGAATATGGTTAGGATTTATTTAGGTTTTATTTAGGGTTTAGGATTTGGTTAGGATTTATTTAGGATTTAGGGTTTGGTTAAGGTTTGATTTAGGGTTTAAGATTTAGATTAGGATTTGATTTAGGATTTAAGATTTGGATTAGAATTTGATTAGGGTTTGATAAAGGATTTAGAGTTTGGATTAGGATTTGGTTTAGGATTTAGGATTTGGATTAGTGTTTGATTAGGGTTTGATTTAGGGTTTAAGATTTGTTTTAGGATTTGATTAGTATTTGGTTTAGGATTTGGTTAGAGTTTGATTTAAGGTTTGTTTAGGGTTTGATTTAGGGTTTAGGATTTTATTAAGATTTAATATTCAAGTAGTTTTGGCTTAAAGTTTGAATGAAGTTCTATAGAATTTTAACTAGAATTAAATTAAGATTGAATTGAGATGTATTTGAGTGATATTTGTGATCCTTCTAATATTTCTTTAAAAATTCTTATTATTTGTTTGAAATTTCTTTGAGGTTTTTTTGAATTTTATTAAGCTTGCTTAGCATTATTATGGTCTAATTAGAGCATTATTAGTATTATTTTAAAATTAGGATTTTTTCATTGCAATTTCCATTCTTCTTTCTACAACTAGATGCCCGGAGCATTCTTAAACAAGACTTCATGTATTACGACAGCGTATCAAGTTCTTGGTTAGATTTTTTTTAATATATTCCTATAATTCAACCAAGTTATTGTGTGATAAATTATAAAATTGGTCCAAATAGCAATTGTGTTCTTTCTTGAAGAACAATTGAGCAATCATAGGGATGATGTTTTGAAAGAATATTTATATTCTTTTTTTCAAATAAATCTTAAAATTCTTGATATTATTTTAGAATGCCACTTAAAGTCTTTGCATCATTAGAAACAGATGTGGCATAAATGACACAAGGTGATCCTTCTTTTGTGGCATGTAAGAAAGCTCTTACATCTACAAACATAGATTTAATTATACTAGACTTGTCATTTTCTACTTCATTAACTACACTCTTAGTTATACTTTTAAAAAAGTCGAGAGTACAAGAAATCTATTCTACTTGAGTGTTGTATTTTTTCAACCATGATAAGCCTAAAATGATTAGATTAGAAAGAAATCTAATAATTTTAAATACCACAAAGCTATTATAACCATTAGTTATTACTTCTAGAGGAAGAATTTTGTAAGTAACATCTTTAGAAGACAAAAGAAAACCTTCTATAACTTCTATATGGATAGGTTTAGTTTTCTTTACTAAAGATATATTAAGTCTTTTAGCAAATTCTTCATCTAAGAAACATGCTGAGCCTTTGAATCTAAAAAAAGTAAAGGCTTTTTAATGTTTAGGTCCTAAAATAATATTTAATATAAAACAAGGAAAAGATTTTGAAGAGAAAACAGGACCTTCATTAGATATTGTACAAGATTCTAGCTGCACGATCCTTATTATAGCTCGACAAACTTGTTTCCAAATATATTATCTTCTTTGATATTTGTACTCTTTATTTTATAATTATATCGCTTCTTTGGACAATGTTGAGTAGTGTGATTAGGTTCTCTCCAATATAAGCACAATCCTTCCTGATGGTAATGAATTTTTTCTTCCTCAGTAAAAGATTTGAAATGTACTACATCAATTTATATATCCTCTACTTTCGAATGTATGTGTTGAAGAAGTGTCAGTGTTGCCATCGAATTATAATAACATTGAGGCCTACTTGTCCGACTCTCAAATCAAAATTCAAAAAGTTGATTATCACACTTCACAGCAAAGTCAATCACTTAATTCAATGTTTGAAGATCAAATAAGTTGAGCATCAATTTCTTTACCTCTTATTGTAATCCATAGAAAAATTAGCTAATAAATGTAGCATCATCTCACTTGATATCAGTTGCAAGTTGCTAAAATTATGAAGCATATAATGTTATGAATTAATTGCCTTATCACAAAATATGGATCTTATTGGTTGCAAAAGTTGCATTATGTTCTCCATACATAGTTAGAAACTCCGCCAAAAAAGCCTCCAAATTATCCAATATTGGATCTCATTATTTAAAAAAAGATAAAAACCACAATAATGCTAAATCTGAAAGAAATGTATCAATGAATCTAACTTATGATCTTGGAGTTGGATAGTTTTGGAATTGAAGTTCAATCACAAGTTGTACTTGATTGATAAATCTTCAAACTTGGATCTTGTGCCATCAAACTTCTCAAGCAGAGCAACTCTTGGTTCTTTAATACTAAAAAGATGTTCTGCCATAGGAAAAAGAATATAATTTGGTACAGATGTTGAAGCAGCTCCAATTATATTTATATCTTCATTTTCTGCCATTCTTGTTGCTCCTTGTGGTAGTAAACTCAGTTGATGTATCGCAAACATTAACTTCCTCAATTGCTCTTCTATTTGTGCCATTACATTTTTCATTTCAATAAGTTTTGCTATAATAATACCTAGAAAAAATATATATATCTAAGTTTGCTCAAGTCTTCTAGAAAAGAAGACTAATCATTAAAAAAGACACTAAAAATAATATCAGTTTTTTTACCTACTTCTATCTAAGCATATAAGTAATTATTGGTTTATATATGTATGTCCGTGACAATATGACCAACTAGAGTTTTTTAAATAAGCCATGCCTATAGCTATGGAGAACTTATCTATTGCTCAACATTACAACACTTTGCGATATACTTACATTCATAGTGGAGCTTATTGACCTTAATTGCAAAGATTTTCTAAACAAGATTATGTATATTTGCAATGTGACATATCTATAACAATTGATGTTAAGGTAGGGTGCACAATTCTATGTGTAAAGAATGTGTTGCATAGTGGTATTCTGTTGTTAGAAGGCAAGGATGGACAAGAATGTCAAGAGCATTCAAAGAATTGCGCTCTTTATTAACTTCTTATTGATGACTCTATACATCTTAAATTGGTAGTTGTGCCAATTGGTCTTTTTTATTTTATATGTAATCAGAAGAAAAACTTTGCTACTACGTTTTTGTATGATCAATGCCAACATTGGTGGCATATAGCATGTTTAATATTACCTCTTTTGACTCTTCCATGAAGAGATTGGATTTGTCGTAAGAAGTCTCTTAGCCATGCCTCATCACATGATAAGAATTGAAGATTTCTTCTATTGTGTATGTCTCATATTTTGATGGTCCAACTACTACAATACTAATTTGAAAGAATACAGTTTGGCAATAATATCATTGTGGCATTCATCTTCAACAATGTGTTTGTGGTTCTAGTTGACTAGAGCGGCACCTAATCAACTAAGGGGGGTACTTGAGAGTGTATTGGGTGTGCATTTGTATTCGGTTTAAATTACATACTTTATGATTGGTTTATAGGATTCAATGTATTGTATGTAATGATCTTTGTTCACACAACATGTAGTTTAATAGTTGCAATAAAATATTTTAAAATGCAAAAATAAATATAAAAATATTAACATAAAAATTAGAAGAAATTAGATTTTAAAATAAAAATTGAAATGGTAATAAAAAGTAATTGAAAATAAAAACGTGTATATAATAATAATAAATAAATAAATAAACATAAATTTTGAACAACATATATACATATAAAATTGCTTATGTATAGATTAATTTGTAAAATAATATTGTTATACTTGTCTATTTGTTTCTAAAATATAAAATCTTAGTCAATTATTATTCTATGAAACCAATTAATAAATAACATGTTAAAACGTATTTATCTATTTAAATACAAAAATTTAAAGAATCAAAATCTTATCATTATAATAACAAACACAATAACTGATTTTTCTTTAATGTAATTCTTAGCTTTTTTTATAATAAAATTAGTATGGTAGCAAAAGTCAAAGTAGGTCTAAATAATTAAATTATGTTTATACATGCAAAAAGTTATATTTATGGTTCTACTTAATTATTTTCTACCCATATTGCTATAAAAAGAACTATAGTAGCATTTTACAAGATTCTTAAAATTTAAATAATCTTAAATAATTCTTTAAATAAAATTATGACCCACCTAGGTTTTTTAATAATACATGGTTATTCACCTATATTCTTGTGTAATTCGTTCTCAATGCATTTTATTTTAGCATTAGAAATCTTATTCATCACTTCTTGTATCTTTTAAAAATAAACCTGTAACAATATACTTTCATGAATAACTAATACTCTGTAGTCCAATGACAATTCAGAGGTTATCATATTGACCAATAATCAATGTGTAACTATGCATATTAAAACAAAAATGAAGCAACAATGTCGGCAAATTCAAAATCAAGACATGTGCATTGTCGCATTACTGTATGGTGGGTGCTCATTGGAGATATGCTAGATGTTCTAAATCAACTCTCGTAACATGGTTTTGGCAGGTGACTGAAGTGAGTTGGAGAGCAAGGATAAAAGAACTACTTCCCAATTCTCAACCACAATTATCATCACTCTAAACACCCAGCACGCAGCAAGCATATGACAACAAGGTTGATCCATCTGAGTTCACTTCAACCAATCCATAAATGAACCTCATGAGTTACGCTAGTCACTGGGAGCTGGAAACGTTTGCCCTATGTTTCTTTTGAACACGAAAAGCAGTGCATCTAGATATCTACCTACAAGTCAACGACGTATCAGTCTTAATGTACTTGAAGATCAACCCTAAAAGTGCCAAAGGCATAATAGAATGAGCACTCAGCCAACTGATTTGCAGCGTGGTTATGTCTAATGAAAACACAATCCGCCCAAACCACGTACATAAAACTCTTCAGAAGCCTGATTACAAAACATAGCAGAGCAGGAGAATAAAGTGCGCCCAACCAAACTCTTACTAGTGGCAAAATCAACAACAGCTTTTTCTGCAATGCAACATATTTAGACTATCAATCACTGAAACCTTCCACTTTGCATGAATAAGTACATTTAGCTCGACGTCACAACCCACTTCACTCCATTCGTCAAAATCGCAGACTCTAAGAAAGATCGAGAACCAAACATTACTGCTCAATCTAAACAGACCGTCAGTAATATCTGAGCCCTTCGTCCCAAGACTAATACTGCCCAACCTAAGACCCCTATAACCTGGAACGCTACTCGCACCAACTCTGTATAACATCGACACACTACTCTACAACCCATCATTGCCCATCAGCCTTTCTTCAATGTATTCACACAGGAGCCACGCCAGCTTCAAGCGTTTCACATTTATTTGACTACCCACACGAAGGTGATGCAATATACCTTGGAAATCGTCGATGATGGAATATTCGCTACGATCGCTTTATCCGTGACATGTGGAGTTAAAATGGAAATAACTTAGCTCCAATGCGAAAACTCCCATCCCAAGCCACCGATGGCTGTTCTAAACACCGCCAACCAGCTCCCACATGGAAAGTGGAACATCCACTTTAGACAGGACCGAGACATGAAATCTGTCGATACGATACAACTGAGCGCCATCAAGTACTTTCATGATCCTATTATATTCTTTCCTAATATCCCATCTTCATCGCTTCCATCTATACATGAGAAACGCGCCTCCAGATTTCCCTTCCATCACACAACACAGAAAGAGTCCAGTGGCACAACCACGAATGGTACATAACGCTGATCCCGCCCTAAACAAGTCAGCTTCCTTTACAGTCTAAAAGGAACTTGGAAAGAGAGAGAGAGAGAGAGAGAGAGAGAGAGAGAGAGAGAACTAAACTAAAATTAAAACCAAAACAAACCTCTAGGCCATCAATCTATGTTCAAAACTGAAGCTTATGGGCACGAATCAACTTCCACCCATTCGCCCACCCACATCGACCGTGCATTGCTACAACACCCAAAAACATCGTCTCAATATGGACTTGCAGACCTGTTGTTCCCTATTCTACCAATCCGCCGCTGATTTCTGTCCAGCCTTCAATGTTCCTGGACATCTGCTTTGTGTCAAACATCCTAACTTTCTTCATCCATACTCTCATTTTATCCATAGCACCACTGTCGTTTATCTGCATTAGGCTAAATTGCCTCCAAACCCTTCTAGGCAGCTTCATCCCGTCACAAAAGCCCCCAAGAAGAACTCCGATATCAAGACGGACAGCCCCGCCGCTTCCCACGAGCCAACGCCCAGCAACACAATCCGCACTCTTCCGTCACCTTCTCTCGCAAACATCCTAAGCATCTCCAACCCCTCTCATCTTCGAAGCGTCCACTTGTTCCCAATTCATTGCTACTGCTGCTGCTGTTGGATGACTAGGGCCAGACTATTCTTCTTCTCTTTTGCAGCCTCGATGGCTTGTTTGATTCTTTCCGCGGGCCCCAGCTTGATGTGCAGCCGGTGCTTGCTTCGCAACTGATCCAGTAACACCGTGATGTCTCTAGAATTGATCAGAGTGTATTCGTCCATATCTTCCTGCAGCATCGCATCGATGATGCTTGGAGGAACATTATAACCCTCAAAAAGGGCCATCAAAGCTGGGGCATTGACGTGGTCTCGTTCCAAGTCTTCCAACGCTCTTTTCCTTTTCCTTCGTCCCTGAACCGGCGATATTTTGGGGATCGTTTCTGATGTTTGATCACCTTCACCACCTGCACTCTCTAGGTAGTACATCCTGTCCCCGTCCTCTCCAGGTGTTCGAATGCCCAGAGGTGTGCCACCATTCTCCAAGCCCAAGGGTGAATCTGCTCCTCCAAGCCCACCCCCGCTACGCACGTGCCTCGGATTTGCTCCAATCAACTCATCCATCATGTCATAAAATATCCACTTTGATGTCACGGATCCCGACACACGTTTCTTCTCTCTCTCCACTTTGTATCGTTTCTTAAGATTATCCACCTGAGTTTTACACGATTCATCAGACATCAAACTAGATCATTGGCCATTACAAATTCAAAAGTCTGTCCATGCAGAAACTGGTATAATGTAATAAGAGCAATAACAATGACCATATGAGAGTTAAATGGGTTAACACACCTTAATGCGGCACTGCTCCTGCGTCTTTGGTATACCATCCACTAAATTGCCCTGCAGCATGAATAGAGAGATAGTACAAGTCAGTGCAAGCGTAATTTTCCAGGCCGTTTCTGAACTTTCAGTGTACAACATTTCAGCATAACACATGATATGCACCAACCTCCAGATAAAGAGAAAGTGCAAGGTCAGGATACGTAATCAGCATCAGAATTCCGAGAAACGCAACAAAACAAAACTAAAAAAAAACAAACACCAGTGAATACATCAGGTTGCAAGGCATCAGCCACATTTAAAAGCAGAAGCATAAGAGACGATGATCGTGACACAGCTACAGTTTAGACGCAAACCCAGAAACAAAGAGTATTCCAATTCAAGATCAAAAACCTGGAAGATTTTCGAACTCCGAACAATCCCAAGATAGCATGCGTAGCACTTCCCATCACCAAACAGTACACAAGAGCCTCACGACAAAATCGAGCTTGTTAAACACTACGCATGACGAGCTATCGTCTTTGGTTACCACTATCTTGAAATTAAGTAGAATCTGAACAATTTTCCCAAAGCCTTCTAGCTCCAAGAGCCTTATAACTCCAAGACTTCCGTTATAACGGTGCTAAAGCCGTTGTACACATTCGATCAGTTGGTCGGAAATATCACACCAATCCAATTCCATGTGAAACCTAAAATAAAGTCAGACTTTCTTTTTTCTATCTCTCAATCGTAATTTCATTCCAGAAGTCCTATTTGAAGCTCTTCCATCACTCAGCTCCCCTCTATGCATTGCCCGCTGCAATTGGCCTCAAGTGTCGTCAACATCCTCTTCCCAACCCCAACTCTCCGCAACCGATACAAACCAACACCAATAAAATAAATTAAAAAATTAAAACAAAACAAAGAAAACACGGCTTCGTAATGACACCCGAGCAGAACATTCGAAAACCGAAACCATCCAATACCGTCAGTGAGCCGCGGCTGTTCACCCTCGCCGCAATGTCGGCCCAAATCTTGCTCGTAAAATTCCCGCGATCAAGAGCGCGGTACTTCTCCCCAAACGCCTGCAACAACACCGTCGTGGCGGTCTCGCTCCACTCGATAACCGGGTCCCGCGAAGACCGTCCGCGTAGCTTTCCAACCTGCGGGCTATTCGCCGTTCCAGCATCGCCCTCACTCATCTGCCGCTCCCGGCCCTCCATCTTTGCATCCACTCGGAGCATGGCGGCGCCCAAGCCCCCGAGCTTCGCATCCATATCTTCCACCACGCCGTGCTTCCCGTTCCCTAACTCCACCCCATACGCATGCGCGTGTTCGTGTCCATTCTCATGCCCCCGGTCGCCAAACACCACGACGTGCCCCGGGTGCTGGACTTTCCCCATCGCGTCATGGTCGTGGACCCCGAGCCCCTTCTCACCATACAAAATCCGCTGTTGCTCGTGCTCCTGCTGTTCGCTCAGCATCCTCAACCCCTGCACCTGCGGTGCCAGGTCCATCCTGCCCACCACCACATGGTGGTCTTCGCAGGCCATGGCATCCATACCGCCCGCTCCTTCGCCATCTCCCGGATGCTGTTGCTGCTGATGCTGCTCGTGATGCAGCATCATCTCGCGGAACGATGATGGCACCACCGCCACCACCTCCGTCGTCCTCGTCGTCGTCGTTGTCGTCGTCGTTGCTGCGTTGCCCTCCCTCCCACCCACCACCACCACCACCACCACCACCCTCAACGACGTTCCCCTTTTTTCCGTGTTCCAACAGTTGCCGCTCGTGGATGCGATGAACTAACTCTCTCAACCCCCCCCCCCTCCTTCCCTCCCTTCCCTTCCCTTCCCCTGGCCCCGCCCAACTCCGTCCGTAGCTCTCTCCTCCACGGCGCAACGATAATGATATGATGATATGCTTGGATGGATGCAACTCTGCTCCTCCCTCGCTCCACCCCTTCAACACTCTCTCCCTCTCTCCCTCGCTCTCTCCACCATCCGGCGACGCACGCAAGAGTCTCACGGAGGCACGGAAAGAGAGTGTAACTGTTTCTCATCTCATTCTCGTGCTTCCCCTGCCCTGCCCTGCCCTGCCCTGCCTTGCCTTGTCTACCGATCCAGGCCTTCTCCGACCTACCTCCAATGACTTTTACTTTATATTTTACTTTTTGTCTTTTGCCTTTTGCTTTTTGTGTTGCGCATCGCAACCTTTCCCCGTTGCGTGCTACCGCGCAATGCGGAGCGAAACTGGGAAAGATGCAAAAGGTGAGTGTCCGTCCTTGTCCCTTTCCTCCTCGTTCTCCGCCTGGATTCGCCGCCTGCTTTGCCCCCCCATCTGGCCCCGTTTTTGCCCTTTTCACACTGGCTTCGTCCAAGGGCTTTGTGCTGGGTGGCCCTGCATTCTTTTTCTTCACTTCTGGTTTTTGTCAATCCTTTTCACTCTAAATCTGCTTTTGCCTTTTTGTATTGATATCGTGCAACTGAACATACATCCACTTTCGTCATTTTTTTCAATTGGGTCTTGGTTTTATAAAGGTTTAAGAGTAAGAATGTATAATATGCAAAGATCCCACGTATGTAAAAGCTGATCACTAATTGTGAAGTTGATGGGGGCTTGGAACATTAAGTAAATGTAGAGGGAAGCATCAGTTTTCAACGGCTTTGCAAGAAAAATCCTCTTACTTATCATAACCTTGATTATTAAATAGATTGGAAATGATTGTCTGTTTGAGTTTCATGATCAATTAATAACTGAAAGATGTGGAATATTCGTACGCATGTAGTTTATTTTGTCTGTATTCTTGTTCCAAATTATTATATTTATCAGTTGAATCATTGGTTTATATTTGATTCCCTTAGGAAAACTCAATGTGAGGCTAAATGAATATATATATATATATATATATAATGCGATTTTGTCACTGTGGAGTCCAATACACTTGTTCCACTGAAAGTACTGATATGATTTTTGATAATTATATTTTGAAATTATGATATATGTGTGTGTGTGTATTTGTTAGGATCAAAGTACTTCAAATTTAATACATAAAAATATTATTACCTGATATCTATCAAACTACGAGTTTAATAATAGTAATGATAATAATAACAATAATTACTTCAGAGAAAATACATATTTTTAACATTGTAAGTCAATTTTATTAGAATTATATTCTTTTAAGCTTGACTTATATTTCAATTCACACACACACACACACACACACACACATATATATATATATATATATATAACCAAATTTGAGATTGAAAGTATCTTTTATCATTACAATTGCAACCAACCCTGTTAATCAGAATTTTTTTCTTTCTTAATATATATAAATACATATATACATGCGTACATGATAAAATATTGAATTTAAGGATATCAATATTTTGGATAAAAATTAGATAATATGTAAAATAATATTATACATCTTATCCAGTTACTTTTCAAAACACAACTCAACATGAAAATTTCTCAAGTACAAACATTTTCATTACATATGTTATATTATAAAGTAAACATAAAAGTATAGTTTTTTTTTTAAAAAAAAATTACATAAATATGAGTTTCAATATAAATATGCTGGTGATTAAAACCACTATTATTTAGAACAATACATTCATGTATATAAATATATATAGTAATTTCATTATAATGAATTATAATATTAAAGTTTTCCAAATAAAAAAGTTAAGATCTCAAATCATATAAGTACTAAAAAAAAATTGTGCCAAACATTATAAAAGATTTTAAAAAAACAATGGGAATTTGTATGAACTTCAATTGTAAAATTACTATCATGACATTTAGATTTATATTCTTTTATGCATTTTTTTCGGATAAAAAGTGGTTATACAACATCTGATTTTGCAATAAAAACAAAATCACAACAAATCATGATTTTCATATTTTGCTTTGTAGACTGTCATAGTTAAGATTTAATAGAAATAAATGTTGAAAGCATTCCTATCAATAAACTGACATTTTTTTATCATCTAATTTAAATGGTAATTCAACTAATAATAACAATAATTTTATTTCAACAATAGTTTGGAATACATAATTTGTAAAAGATGATATGCTATCTATAAAATATTGAAAAATCAAGTAAGTAGCATTAAAAACAACATTATAATATTCTTGTTATGATAAACTGTTTTCAAATTTCAAAAATAGAGTATATTTATTTATATGCACATATTTCAATTTATGCAACAAAAAAAGCATATGTCTGTGCAAGATATTTATCTTGTAGCAATGTCTTGGCATCAAGGAGAGAAGAAAGACAAAAATGATGTAAGGTGATTCTTCCAGCTTTTGAATCTTTTTGGTTTGGATCACAAGAACATATAGTTTATACTTTTTCTTTTCTTTTGTTCTAAAATAAATTTAAACTATGAATGACATTTTTGTTGCAAAAATATTGTCTAAAATAATTATCCAATAAGAAATAGTGAGTTTCAATATCTTTGAAAAGTTACAATTTACTTACAATTTATTAAAAGTGATACAAAAAATAATTGGTAAGCATTTTTATAAAAATATTATTTAAAAAATATCATATTTTTAGAGTATAAGATAATACATTTAATAAAATTTTGGTGCAAGTTTTTTTTTTTTTTTCTCTCCAAATAATAATAAAATAGAAGTATATATATATATATATATATATATACACACACATGGGAATTTAAAATAGATCCATGCTTTTACTCAATAGACCCACCCTTGATGAAGAACACGGTAATCATGATATAATGTGGCTAGTTTTTATTGGTTGTAGATCTGGTAGTGGAAAAATAAATATAGATTTTTTTTTATTTTTTATTTTTATTTTTTTCCATTTCATTTCATTTCATGATGGTTAAAAAGGATGGATAAATTTAGTTAAAATTTGGGTCCATTTAACATTCCCCTACCTACCAACCCATCTATCGATATATATATATATATATATATGAAAATAAAAAGGTGTATAGTAGATTCTTCTTGAATTCAAACTTGGAAGTATCATTAGACTTTGAAGGATTTCTCTTCATATCACGAATAAGAGGATCAGAAGACATACTTGACTGAACTTGATTAATGAAAGTTGAAACAACAGTTAATGTATGAGATTTTCGAATTTGAATCCATAAGTGATAAATAAAAACAATAAATTTGAAATATTGGCAAAGAGCATCTGTTGTAGAAAAGGAGTCAATAAATCTTTTGAGAGAAAGATAAGGAGAAACATTATTCAACTTGTCAGGAATACTGGGCCCGTTAACCAAACGAGCCAGAATCGGCCACGTGGCAGTAGAGGCATAGGTTCGGTATCCGAGCCTGGCAGGCATTCATATCTGTGGAGTTAGTCAGACCGAGCAGCTTAGGATGCATTATCGTCGCCGGGGTCACCATCTCTGGATTTTGATGCCTCCATCTTCATCGCTAACTAAATTTGGCCATGGCCGCTCTTCGGCTCCATTAGGTTCTCGCTTTGACGCACAGACCACACACGGCACTCCGTTTCTCGGCGCAGACCCTGGGAAGTCTGTGTTTTGTGTGTCTCGAGAATTAACTTTACTCTTTCTTTCTAGGCAAATTACGGCGACGAGTTTTGATTCGGCTCCGGAAGCTGCTCACAGGTCGTGGGTGATACGGATCTGATTGTGCCGACGGAAGCGACGATTGGCTAATCAGGAGCTGCTTACTTAAACAACCGGGTTTCGGGGTGTAGTTGTGAGTAGACTTGGCAAGTTGGGAGGGGGAGGACAAGAGTTCGAGGTAATCGATTTGGATTTTTTTCTTAAAGTGCTTGCTCAAAGGATCGGGTCATCTCTTCGATCGCGTTAGATCCTTTAGTGGGGTTTAGTGTGGAGAGGATTCTGATCTGTTGCGTGTAGGTCAATCGCTTTTGGCAGTGGGAGCGGAAGTAGAAGAGGTTGTGTGGTAGTGAATAGTCGCTTGTTGTTTTTTTGAGTGTTAATTTTAATTTTAATATCTTTTTCAGGTGATACGATCTTTGCAGCGATGGCGGAATGGCAGGAGAAAGTGCAGTCTATGATCTTAGGTTTTGTATTTGCATTCATGGTGATGAAGCTTATCTCGGTTATATCTTCATTCCGAAGTGCAAATTTGCGAGTGACACGTGCGGCGGACGAGGAGGGTCTGGTTGCAGGACTCGGTTCGGTCGATGAGCAAAACGCTCCTCTTGTTGGGACCGATGAGGAGGTTGAAGCCGACGGTGGTGATGAAAAGGAGGATCATGTTGATGATTCATCTTCTTCTGAATCCGGAACTGAGGACGATGCTGCTCCAACCTCTCGGCCTCGCGAGGTTTGCACTACTGACACGGCGGCTGTTTCTGAAGCTGAATCTAAGGACGAGGAAGTAAAACCTAAGGACGATGAGGAAGTTGAAGAGATCATTACACCCGGTGCTCAATCCTTGAAAGCCTTGGTATGTTTTCTAGCATGTTCAATCATCGCCGCCATTGTACCTCACCTCTATTCTTTCAGTTGGTTTGGTGTTTCTTTCGAAGGTCTACGTCTGAGATGATCTGTAAAACGTCGTGATTATAGTTCGTCAACCTTGTCGAGTACTATAGTATGTTTGCAAGATGATAGGGTTATAGTTCCGCTTGGGCACTTGATTGCCCGAAAGGCTCTCTGGTGGGATTTTGATTTCGTGAATGATTTTGTTGGATTGGTCACAGACATCCGATAACTCGTGAACAGCGTGCGGGGAGCACATCATCAAATAGTGCTCTCGCAAGTACAGGGTCCTTTAGATTTAGGAAACAGATAGACCTCGGAGCAGCAGTATGTTGTGTTATCGTGTAACACCTTCTAAGTCTTAAGGAGGGTAATCCAAAGATCTGCAGATGTACGAGTAGATTTGCGCTCGATGGAATCGACAGCTACTGCTGCTTTAGGAGCACTCCAATGTCAATAACGTGAAGCAGCTTCAACCATGAAAATTCTGTTCTGTTTGCAGTAAAGAATTGTGTTGTTGTTTTCTCAAGTCGTTCATGTTGTTGCATGGTGAAGGGTTATTCCTTGATTCGATGAGCTTGTAAGAATTGCTAGATCATTCAGCATCTTGACTGTGCTTCATCTAAGTTGATATCGTAGTGCTGGCCAGCTCAATGGTAGTTTTTCCATTTTCTGGGCGGGTGCCTGTTATGCGGCAGTGTTCAACTGTGCGCGTAGCTTTGTGTCTTTATTTACTGAAATCTTAGTGCCTGAAACTAATGAATTGGAGAATGGTAACAGCTGACTACTGTTTTTCTATAATCTTGTACGTTTAGACTCAAGTCTCGTAAGGCCTAGGGACTAATCTTGTGTTATTCATGTTTATTTTCATTAGGTATGCTTTGCCTGTATACAAATTATGGAGGTCAAATATATGTCTGCATCAACAATCAATATATATATATATATATATATATACACACAATTATTTGTTTTGTTGTCTGTTGTTTTAATTTCCTTTTCAAATTTAATTACTTATTTTTGGTGTGATTTAAAAACCTTCGAACCAAAGTTTCGATCTCACACTTCTTGTTAGATTCAATAGCAGTCTCCCGTTTTGCTAGTATTAGATGTATTAATTCTATGCTTGACTTTGGACTAGTAAAAGATTACGTGCTGCACCTCAACTTAACAAGCTCTAGGGGAACAAACCGTTTGTACCATTGTCGTGCTATTTTTATGCTAGTGGAGATCAGTAGTTGGTTCACTCGATGCAGATTGTAGTATGGTACGATGCTTATCTGTCGAAATGTAGGTAGTCTTGTTATGTTGGCTCATGATTAATATTTGAAACTCCGCATCACTTGTCGACCAGTGGCTAAAATGTCAAGTTAAGCTGTGTACCTCTAGGACACATGTAGCTGCCATCAGTAGCGAATTGGTGTTACATTGGTGTACAAATTTAGCCCCACGAAGTCGTGGCGAGACCTATCCCATCATTATTAAGTGTTGGAAACTGTTGATAACAATCAAGTTATAAGCTTATCCAGTTCAGAGTGCAATATTTAGAATTAGGAAAGTACATGTACATGAGTTGCTATTAATATAATTTACTGACAGTTTCAGTAACTTGCTGTCAACTTCATGGGTTTTCTGAAACAATCTTTATGGTTGTTCAGGTTGTACTCGTAGGATTCTGAATAGTGTGATCATTTTTTCCAGAGTGAACAGGTTGCTGATGATGTTGGGGCAGAGCTGGAGGAGGAGAACGAAACGGATGACTGGGAAGGTGTAGAAAGCACCGATTTAGAGAGACTCTTCGGGGCTGCTTCTACCTATGCGGATAACATGGTTGCTATGTTTGGTGTGAAGCCTTCAACGGATGCCATGCTGCAGCTACAGGCTTTGTACAAGATAGCCACTGAAGGCCCTTGCTCTACTTCTCAGCCATCAGCTTTTCAGCCGTCTGCTCGTGCCAAATGGTAACACTTCCACTCAGTGGCAAGAATATCTGAGCGTACCAATGTGCTGTTTGATGAAGCCAATTACTTCCTGACAAGCATGGTGGCTTTCAGACATGGAATGTAAAAACAGGTTAAGAAGACTGCAGTTATTTTGATTTTGCTTCTTGTATTGTCAAATTCACTCAAAGACTTGAATTTCCTGGTATTGTATTAGGATTTACTTATGGATAACGTTTTAATACCGAGTTTCTTGCTACCATAATCTGCAAGCCCTGATGAACAATAGCGAGTTGTTCAAACGTGATAGCTGATGAGCCAAAGTGCAACGTAATAATCTAAGCAGAGTAATAGACTGGAATAGTTTTTGAGAATGAATTTTGAAATGGAGTCTCTTTTTTAACAGGAATGCGTGGCAGCAGCTTGGAAGTATGTCTCAAGAAGAGGCTATGGAAAAGTACATCTCTGTTCTGACAGAGATTAATCCTGCTTGGTATGAGAGTTATCAGAAGGTAAAGTCTTAGAGGTTATACGACATATAAGCCACCTATTTGGATGTCTCTTCGTAAAGTAGATGCTCTATGCTTTTTGTATTATGTGTTATATACCATGCGTGGTGGATTTTTGTGAATTATGAGATTTGGAAGGCTTATCCATGAATATTATGGCTGGGAGGATTTATCTTAGAACTTAATCTGCTTTCATTCAGTAACTGTGTTTTCCAAGCAATTTCTGTGAGCTAATGCAAATGTAACAAACCAAAGAGACTGTATAAGCGTTAGTGGAACTAAAAGAAGGAAGTTTCTCGCAGACAAGAGAAACAGTGAAGGGATCTGGCGAACAGACGACGACGACTCCGAAAGGGGAACACGCAGAGTACGTTCCCCGCAGATCTGTCTCCTACAAAGAATTTAGATGCAACTAATTTTTACATTTATGATCAGTATTAACCTGAGAAATGTCTTTCTTGTTGTTCTTATGGGTTGTACATTTTACGTTCTCATTTTGAATTTCAAATTGGGGATCACTTGCAATTCAATGCCAAAAACTTCTCTGGGTGGCTTATTTTCTAGGTTTTTTTAATCAAGTATAGCATACATTTTTGAATCACTAGTTGCGAGTTGGAGTTCTATTGTAACACTCGTATACTTCAGGATGACATCTAATGTGGCTTGGTCTGTTTGTATGAACAAAAAAATTGTTTGTGATTTTGCAGTTAAGCAGAACCATTCCACGCATCCAATTAGTGAGCAAGAGGCGGCTGTCGAACATCTCGTTGAGCATGGAGCTGCTGTAAATGCTACTGACAGTAATAGAATTTATGTCCTGATACAAATTCTACGACACGCGTTATGGTTTCAAGGCTCTTCGACTTGACATGGCAGTCTCCATTCCATATTCAAGACATGCAATTAACGACTCCTTAAAAAGTGGCATCAGATCTAGCAGATGTCAAGGAGCCCTTCTGCACGAACTGCAATCTGTATTGCTATGTACCTTCGTATTTGTGAATTTTCCTAGATGTTGTAAATGTTTGTCTAGTTATCTCTATTAGTTCCAGAACTGTCTAAAATAGAACTTGATGTATAGGTTGTAGTATTTTGTCTATATGCGAATTATGTCCATTGTGAAAATGCAAAGAATTGACATTGATGTTCAAAATTTGTTATGAAATGTTTCTCTTTATCATGAAATAAAGAAATAACACAATAAAAATCGGATGAAAGTGCCATGATGTTGCCTTTTTCCTGTAACCATTGCAGTTTCCACGGTTGTAGCCCAGCCACGGATCAAGATATCTTAGAAAGTTACAACCTGGTTAGAACAGAGACCGGTTGAAATAAAAGTAGATATTGGTTATAGTCATTACGAATTTATCTCGGTAATACGGCATTTACTGCTCAAAACGGCATGCATTCCTTAGTTGCGGCGTAGGCGGTCCAACACTTGCCATGCAGTTGTTCGTTTTTACCGAACAAGACAAAGATGGTGTGAAGAAAGGAAAACCAAACAGAAAAGACTTAAAAACCAGGCCCCGGAAACAAAGGTATTGTACTGCAGATCTCGCATTAAATTTCCTTATCCCAACACCAATGATAGCTACTGTATCATATTGTATGAAATTCGAAAGCCATCTACACCGTGGTCGAATATCACCCATTACTAGAACTACCCGTAAAACTGTAAATATAAATCTACAAATCTATGACTTGGGAGCTGGTGGGTTTTGTACAAATTTAACGCCCTTCTGGATGCTTTCATGTAGCTCTGGTTTTAGCTTCTCCAAACCCTCCCTGCAAAAAACAAACTCAGCTTGTCCAAGTCAGTATCTAAAGCCTTGAACACAATGCCATGACTTAGCCCAAGGGTTGACAAGATAAAACAATCCTACCAATCTTGCCAGGTGAGTAACCTCTGCTTCGGTTCGAAGTATGAGACAAAGGTTTCGTAGTAAGACCACGTTTGAATCGCAGGAGATTCAACAAAAGAGAAACTGGAAAGAGGATAGTAAAGCAGAAGTGTTCACCTCTCATGTGCGTTCAATGGTCCAAGTGGATAGATCTCCTCAATTCCTGAACGCCCAATCCTCACTTTTGTTGCGAAGAAAGGTAGCTCAGTCACCTGCATTGATGCCATTATCACATTGAAAAAGTGCTTCGTGAGCCATTCGCACATGATTAGAGTTTCACCATAGAGAAAAAATAAAAAAATAAAACAAAAATTGAAGCCTCATGGACCAGTGCTTTCAATTGCGCGTAACGTGCTTGAAAGGCTAAGGTAAATTCAAGTCAATGGAAGAGGTTTTGCGTATATGCCCTCACCTCACAGTCAACATAAGCGCACTCAACAATGCCAGACTCTCCTTGTAGGGCACGTAAGCAGGATTCTGCAAACTTAGCAGCCGCATAAGCCTGTCGACACAACACGCATGCATCATTAAACCACGATTTTCGGAGCTAAGTACTCGCAAGAAGATATCTTTGCACTTGATCTCAATGATCAAAAGCGTCATTGGAAGCCACTAAAATGTGCTTATTGATGAAACTGCATTGAGAGGCTTACCATAGACAAGGTTGCAGAGCCCGCTCCTTTCTTAGCCTGGTCAGATAACCACAAACGACCCAACATCAGATTGCAGATAAAACTCTACGCTTAAAACTGGTTTCGACCAAAAGAATAGATAAACTTGTTGCCACAAGAAATCAGTCCTATGAACGAAGTTGATGGCTCATCATTGGCAGCTTTACCTCCACCACCTCGGTTCCTCCATTCTGAATACGGTTGGTCAAATAAGCCACTTCCTTATCTGTGAAGGTGAACTTGGGTGTCGCCTAAATGCCAACAAATGAATTGTGCGTGAGCCATTTAATGTCAGATAGGTTTTGAATTGGAAACATCTCCTGATCCACGCAAGATATAGGGCTTGTATACATCTATGAATAGGATGTAAACGAAAGAGCTGCTCAACATACCTGAGATAGGATGGGGAGAATGGTGATACCAGCGTGCCCCCCAAGGACTGGCACATCCACCATTTTAGGATCCACACCGATCACATCAGCCTGCAAAAGTTCGAAGCGTTGAACTTAGCTTGAAATCGATTCTCCAAACTCTGGATTAACAACACTAGCATCCGCTGAACCGTAGCATACGGTAAAGTGCTATCTAGATCAAGTTTTGTATCTAGGATTCTCCATGTTGTCGTAAAACTTTAGGGACTAAGTGCTCGTTTCATGCAATCAAGCCTTACCACGAAGGTGTTCGCTCGAACAACATCCAAAGTGGTGACGCCAAAGAGACGTTTAGGGTCATATACGCCAGCCTTCTTGAGCACCTCGGCAGCGATAGGCACGGTGGAGTTCACAGGGTTGCTGATAATGTTGATTATTGCTCGGGGACAGTGCTTTGCTACACCCTCGATCAAAGTGCGCACAATGCCAGCATTGATGTTGAACAAATCATCTCTTGTCATGCCTGGCTTTCGTGGAACTCCAGCGGGTATAATAACCAAGTCCATCCCGTCCAAAGCAGGTCCCAATTGGTCGTTGCCAAGGAATCCTCGCACCTTAAAAGACAAAGCAGTGTGCTCACATTAGTTGGGGAATCAATAAGCGACCAATATTTACTTATCCTACCGAAGTGCTATCACGGGAAATAAGTACATGACAGAGGTAGAAAACATAGTTGAAATTTTGCGAAAATAACAGATACAGCTGAACGAATTCGAACATGTGAAATCAAATGACGTGATAGGGAGGGTACCACAGCAGAGGTGTTTGTGTGGCTCAAATCAGCAACAACTCCGGGTGTGTTGAAAACATCGTACAGGTGAAGAGTGGACACCAAGGGACTCATTTTCATGAGCAACGACAAAGGTTGCCCAATTCCACCAGCTGCTCCCAATATCGCTACTTTGAATCCTGGAGCTGCACCTCGTGCACGGGTTGCCTCCCTCTCTACCCCCGTCATAATGTTCCTCTGCATATTATCCTCGAAACATCAACATACACCCTCCATGACTTGGCATGAAACCAACAACAATCTACGTAGCCATACAAACCTCAAGTATGACATGAGAAAATTGAAGGATCCCATCCTAGTTATTTCCCATTAGGGTACGGATAGTAATCCTGGGCATTAATCACAACTTCCCATAGAACTCTAAGTCATTTTCTGTTCCGAACCCAAATATTTATCTCTGCCCTTAAGGAATTCGCTCTTCCCAGCTCCCTTGTGAATCTCCAAAAAGTTGAGATAATCGTCTCCCCCTCCCCCCAATCACAATCGACTTCACTACTTTCAAAACACAGAATTCAAAATTCCTACGCACCAAGTTTATAATAAAAGGGCAACGTTCCAGCGACACCCAAATAATGTTAACAATCAAATAGCTCCCAGATCACGAGCACGTCGATAGAAACCTCCAATTCCACCAAAATTCGGCCGGAAAACAAACCAGCGACACATTTCCAGAAAAAAAGTGGCACTTACCTCCGGCGCCTCCATGTGCGAGGCGATCCGAGCGAGGCGCACTTGGGCACGCACGTTAGCCATCTCCATGGTTGCGACTCCTGGTGAGCTCACAAAACTGTACGAAATTTCGCCACCCGCCACACGAATTCTGTGTGCAAAAATTTGCTTTGTGGCTTGTGCGTGATGGGCTTTCTGTGGCAACTGGAGTTCGTTTCTTTGCTTAGAAAGGAGGCCGCGGGGACGAGTTCCAGACCCCTTGGCCGCTCCCCGCCCCCTGTATCCGTGGATAAGTCTAGCGGCACCGATCAGCATTTAGCGGCCCCAAGTTTGGAGGGCCCCCGCTATATCTGGTTAGTGGGCCCCAAACCCGTGTTACCCCCTGCGGCGCCACGCTGGACCTTGTCTTTGAACGCTTACGTGGCATCTTCCTTGCTTTTTGTGTTGCTTAATGCTTTTGGATGTGTGGTCCATGTGACATCATGGGCCGTTTTCATGACCATATTCATGGCTTTCATTCTAACCAAAATCATATAAATTGTTTACTCACACATACTAATAAAAATTCAAAAGTTATACAAACATATAAACAAATAAACAATTCAAGTTAATAGTTTGGTTTATGACAATTTTGAAGAGTGTGGTCATCATGAAATGTGCAATATTTGTGTTATACCATATTAGATTATTATTATTATTGGTTTTTTTTGTTTATTTGTTTATTTTTATTATTTATTATTTTCTGTTTATTTATTTTGTTTATTATTGGTTATTTTTATTTATTTATTTATTTATTCTCATCTTTGGTGTAGTATAGGTTTTTTAAAACTAGTTGTATAAATAGAATGGTTTTTACACATTATACTGAAATTGGTGTAAAGGTGAATTCGGCTAATTGTACCCTTGCAAATTTTTGGATTATAGTCTGGTTGATGTGTGATTTAAGGGTTTACAAAGAATCATGGAATTGTGAAAATTATCACTTGAATATTTCATCTTAACAAATAAAATTAGAAAGTATTTGTTTAAATTCTATTTCAAGTCTCTGCATCGAAATTCTATAATAAAACATCTTAACTCAGTAATTAATTAGATAACTGTGGTTCGATTCAATCAATTTTTTACTCAATTTAATATTATTTTAATATTATTTACAAGTATTTATAAATTGAAGAATTTAGACATTTTTTTGAAATTCAATTATAAATTTTTTCAAATTCAGTTTTTTGTTGGATTTTGTGCTTACATTGAAATCCCATATTGTCATTTTATTTATTTATTTATTTTGTTTTATTATATTTTTTGTTTCAATCCATACTTTATGTTGCACATTTTAGATTAAATAATTCTCTATAATCAATATAAATTACTTTATTCAAACCATAATACACAAACATCCCTGCTTCAAACACAATTATCTTTTTTCCACCTTTACTGCTGTAAACAAAGTTGCAATCCTTGCCAGTCTTTTACTTTTTGACTATTACAAAATCATAGCACTGTAATTATTGAATCGATATCTTAATAACTGTTACATTCATATTAAAAATGAGACTCAAAAACTCCTTCTAAAACAAAGCATATTATTAGTATTGTATATTGAGTTCATTTAAAATTTTCAAAAAGGTTTTTCAATTTCAAATTGTATAGCTGTGATGGATCTATTGAGAATAAATTTTATGGGTTTAGATTTGTTGTCTAAAAAACTGTATGTATGCTGCTAAATTTATTAATTATTAACATTTTAAAGCTTTGAACTAATGTGAAGATATGTGACTCTAATAAGTTAAAAAATCTTGAATTCCATAGAAAGCAAGTGTGTAAATTATAAAATATTGTAAGTTATATAAAACCATTTAACATTGTTTGTAAAATACACTTAGAAATAAAATTATCATAAGTTTTTGTAAAGCCAAGACATACTTACAAGGTGTTTGTTAACACCACCATAATTTTTTCTATTGCTACTTTAATTCATTCTTATTAGTTTTGAATTATTTATTATTAGAATTAAATCAAATTTCTATGTAATTTTTTAAAAATATTTTAGATTTTTTTTATTGAAATAAAATGAAATAAATAAATATATTGAGTGGATGATAAGTTGTTGTGGAAATAGCAAATACTATGGTCACATGTGATAAATGGTAGATGATAATGGCAAAAGCAAAAACTATAGTGGTATTAGGAATATCCTATTTGTACCATATAAAATATATAGACCTTCATTAAATATTTCTTTGAAAAACTAATCAATTTCCAATTTATTCAAAAAAGAATTTGTCAAAGTAGACTTAAGCTCAAATAAATTGCTATTAATTGTGCAATCTTTTGTTTGAATTAAATTTGTTTATTTTGACCTCATGTTCATGCAATTAAAATTCTCATTATTCTCTTATATTTAAAATAAATATTTTTTTCTTTAATTTTTTATTTTAAATTTAACACTAATTTAAAAACATATATGATTTCTCCAAAACTAAGTATACTAATTGTTATGGACTCGATTAATACAATCAATTACTTAAATAAGAAGAATTAAGTAAAAGTAAATAAAAGTAAGTAAATTTAATACTATCTTATAGAGAAGCTTCTTAAAAGCTTTCTAGATACAAATTTGACTTTATACATATCTATAGGTGATTGATATGTAATCTAATTTAAAAATTTGGCTAATAAGTTGGCCTTATATTACATATCTTGGCCGCTTATGGTACAAGTTGGATATGTAGCATACATATAAGAGACTTGCCTTGTAAGCTAAACACATGTCTTGCAAGTTGTACACATGTTGAAGGTCCTATAGAAGGTTGCTACATAACTTCTAATTAGATAATATAAATAGAAGCAAAAGTGAGGCCTTTTTTACTCTTGTTAGTATTTATTATTTATTATTTATTATTTTTTAGTCTTTGATCTTTTTGTCTTTAACAAAATTTATTTTAATTTTAATATTATATTATCTTTAAGTGAATATATATATTTTTTAATGATCTAAAATGTATTGGCTTTATTGTTATTTTTATTCCATATTCTTAACAATTTGACAATAGTCCTAATTTGATAATCTTCATTTATTTTAGAAGGAAATGGATTATGTGACTTCTTTTATTGTACTTTAAAGGTTGCACACTACCTACCTTTAAATTATCATTTCTATTTTCTAACATTGATTTTTTCTTTAAAGAAAGTACATTACCTCTCTTTGTGAAAATTTTCATTTAATATTAGAGATTATAAATTATCATTTTCTAATTTTACTTGTAGATTTGTTAAAGTTATTTATTATAGAGATAGAAGAAATAATTATGGATGCTATACTTAATGTAAGTATAAATAGATTTACAATCATTACAAGTCTTTATAATCTTGTTAACACTCTTAAGGCAGAAATTTTATATATTACTAATATCAATCATAGATGTACTATTCCTATACATATGGAAGAAGTCAATAATGAAGTCTAATATCTATGCAAAGAAATTATGTTGTTGAGAGAAGGAAGTAGATTAAACTTATAATTACATCCAAAAAATCTTGCTATATCAAGTATGAATGAAGAAAAGATTAATATTTTAGAGAAGTTTAATATAAAAAATTTAAAATTTGAAATATTTCTATCATAAGTAAAATTCTATCTAAAATTCTATTCTTCCAAATATCATCATGAATTAATTAAAATTGGATTCATAAGTGCACTTTTATCTAAAAGTATTCTTTTTTTATTTGAATCTTTGATAAAAAAGAATTTATTATTCTTATATAATCTAAATTTATTCTTAAAAATATTTATTCTCACATTTGGAGAGAGTGATTGAGAAAGAGTAATAGAGACAAAATTCTTATTTTTACAACAAGGATCTCAATTAACTACCATATATGTTGTTGAATTCCAAAACCTTGCTTGTGACGTGAATTAGGATCACAAAGTCTTTATCAATCAATTCCAATATGAATTAAAAGATAAAATCTAAGATTTATTGTTAACAATGCCAAAAGTAGATTCATCAATACAATTTATTGCTTAAGCCATTGCATGCAACAATTAACTTTTTAAAGATAACAAGAATAAAGATTGGATTGAAAAAGAAGAAATCAAGTCATGACAACAATTCTTAAGTTTTCATAAACTTATTTATCACAGTCAAATCTTATGAAAATTAATACAATAGGTTTCAAATCTCTTATTAAACAAAAAAATATTCAATGCTGTTAAAAAAGATTGTCCTAATATTATGTAGAACATAAGTACATTATTCAATATTGTTTAAAGAAGTAAAAAATAACTATAAAATTAGAATAATAGTTGCTAAAGTGGACAATGTGTCTAAAAATGAATTTATCAAGTTATAATAGGAATTATGCAACTAGGATTTTATACAATACTTAATAAAAATCTTATTCTTTTATTAGATCCTTCACCTTACTTTACAATAGATATTTGTTTAGGATCAATAAATTTCAAAATATTTGCCTTGTTAGATGTAAGAGCCTCAACTTGTTTAAAATGAAAAGACTTTATTAACAAATAAGAAATATTCTTATGAAAAAAACTAAATCTATACATGCAGAATGAAAAAAAAAAAAACAAAAAATCTTTTTTTGTCTTTTAGAGATGTTATACATGAAACTATACTTATAAATGGAGCAACAAATAGTAATAATAGCTCATTTATTTTTTATACTATTAGATCTCTCTTTAATCAAATTATTTTAGGTTTATTGAGGCTAAAGAAATTTAATCCTTGAATAGACAAGATTTCTTTTAATCTAAAATTTTTCTATAATATAATCCAAACTTTAATTATTTAAGTATAAAGTCATAAGTCTTATATAATTAAATTTTTATTTATGGATGCAAAAGCTTTCATGCATGCTACAAAAGAAAAATATTTTTTTATTATTTATATCATATTTATTTCAATTGATAGAAAGACTTCAAAGAACATTTCAATTTAGTATAAAAATTATCAAGATATTATTGAAATAAAGAATACAAATATTTTTTCAAATCATCATTGTTATAATTGCTCAATTAATCTTCAAGAAAGAACTCAATCACCATTTGGATCAATCCATAGCTTATCATAGAATAAGTTGGTTACACTCAAGGAGTATATTAATGAGAACTTGGCTAAAAATTTCATATGTCATTTAAAATCTCCAATAAGAATTTCAAACTTGTTTGTAAAGAAAAAAGATTGATCACTACATATATGTGTAGATTATTGAGATTTTAATACAATTACCATTAAGAATATGTATTTCTATTTTTAATATTAAGACTTTTTGATTAATTAAATCAAGCAAAGATTTATAAAAAAATAGATCTAAGAACTTAGTATGGAAATTTTGAATATAATATCATGCCTTTTGGATTTATAAATACACTAGCTACTTTTCAATATCTAATAAATGATACTTTTAAAGATTTTTTGGATGGTTTTATTCTTTGTTATGTTAATTTATTTTAAAAATATAAAAGAATATTAAGTTTATATTTATCTTATATTAAAAAAATTTAGAGATACAAGACTATATACTAAGATAAAAATATGTATATTCTACACAATTAAGCTAATTTTTAAAGATATATCATTTTATATGATGGTCTTATGAAAGATCTTATATATATATATATATATATATATATATATATATATATATATATATAATTTATTATGGATTAGAAGATTGAAAGAATAAAAGAGACGTCTAATTTTTTTGTGGCATTTATCAAATACAATTAGATTTTTATCAAGATTTTTTAAGTTACGTCTTGTAATTTTTTAAGTTACTTACCTATTGTACTTTAAAAAAAACTTAAGTAAAATAAAGAAGTTGAAGCAAAATTTTAAGCTTTCAAAACAACTTTTATAATACTTTCAATCTTGTATTACATTGATTTTTTTAAAGTATTTTTTTATAATAATGAATGTATTTGACTTTGCATTGGATGCAGTATTATCACAAATAAGAGTATATGATAAAATTCACATAATAGTTTTTATTAACAATTTTTTTCAATAGATAAGATCAATCATAAGATCTATAACAAATAACTTCTTGTAATTATTGATTCATTTTAAAAATAGCATTATTATCTAGAAGGTGCTCCTATTTCAATGATTTTTCATATAAATCACAAGAATCTTAAGTATTAGTGTGTGTTTTAAATTAAAGCCAAGCTTATTGGAACATGTATTTTTTTAACGTTTTAATTTAATATCACAAAACAACTAGAAAAAAAATAAGTTTTATTTGATATTCTTTTTGAATATTTTTATCTTACACCTATAAAAAGGAGATGCAACTTTTAATCAACAACAAATAATTCTTTTGAAACTAAAGTAAATTCATGTTTTAACAATGATAGGTATTGATAGGTTGAAAATTTGGCCAAAAAATTAGCCACATATTGTGTATGTTGGCCTTTTGTAGTATTAATTGACCATGTATCGCATATGTATGAAACTTACCTTATAAGTTAGACATATGTTGAAGGTTGCCACACAGTTTCTAATTAGATAGTATATATAGAGGCAAAAAAATAATAAAGTAATAATATGATTTTTTAAAATTATAATTATTAATTACTATCCTAAACCTAATTCTATAAACCCAATAATCACCATTGTATACAAAATTCCTAAATACAATTCTACACTAATAACTTTATTTGACAAACATGAAATATTGAGCTGCAACACATTAAACTTAGATTAATAATTACATTCATCTATTTATTTATTTAGATAAAATAAAAATAGAATTATTGATGGCAATGCAAAACAAAAAATAAATGAATAAAATAATAGTGATTGAAATTCTTTAGTGATTCAGGTTGTCGCAGTGTGAAAAGAGCACTGGTCCATCGAACGTCTGGTAAATGGCAACTCTAATTCAACACGTTTCAAACGGCAGAACACGCGGGAAAAAGATCTTCCGCCAAAAAGTAAAACAAGATAAAAGTAAAAGCACGTGACTACTCATACACACTAATTTGTGGGAACAGTATGGGTGTAGCTTCCAACACCCCAACGAAGATTTGTTGCATCGTCTTCGATCTCGGCCGCCATAGCCACGCTCACCAGGCTCCTCCTGCATTGGATCGCCGAAGCCGTGATGCGCCCCCGTTGGTGAGATGTACCCCCTCGCACTACTTCTCATTCTACAATTTTTGTATTTCATTTCCGCTCTGCAGTTTGTTTAATGTAATTTAATTTAATTTGATTTTTTCTTCTTCTTCCCCCTTTTCTATTGTCTCGAATCTGCGCTTCACAACGGATTCTGTTGGTTCTGTTTCGGATTTGGATTCGGACTAGGAGTGCGTTGAGCGTTAGCATTTCGAGTTTCTGGCGATGGATATATATTTTTTATCTTTTATTTTTTCTCCTTGAGCAATTCGACAACGTAGGTTGAAATTGGTTTTGGTATTGAGGATCGCGATTTCTGTCAAAGTATTGTGAAGCGCCGGGTTTTTGCGAGGATTTTTTCGGTTTCGTTTCGGTTTGGAGGGACTGGGAATGATTGTGGAGGTTTTTTCCAATTTTTATGAGCCTTATCTTGTTGTCACTTGAGGTGAAGATGGTCGTGAGGTTTTGTGCGTTGGTGTGGCTGCTCGTAGTTAGTCAAAGCAATGAGATTGCGACTATGTTTGATCGTCTGTTGCCGCTGGTGCTGTATAGAAATCTTGTCTGTTCAATTTCTCTTTATCAGGATTTGGTGTTCACGGAGGTGCTTTGCTTTTGAATTGAAGTGAGACTTCTCGAGTGAAGATGTTTTTTCTGTAGAATTGAGAAGTGCAGTTCCATGGTGTTATGTACTAGTTCAGATAAATGAATTCTGACATTGCGTCGATTCTCACGCGGGAGTTCTTACGCGTTTAGGACCCTCGGAGTTTTTTTTCTTACACATGCGAGAATTAAGTTGTCTGTTCTTTATGGGATTAGCGCGCTTGGAATGACCGATGTGTTTCCACTGTCTTTAATTTCAAATGAAATTAGTCTGCTGATTTCTTGGTATTTGCGCTTTGTTTCTATTGGCATCCTTTGTATCATGTTCTTGTACTGAGAAAAGTTCAGGGAGCTGTGAAATAATGTTCTTACAAATCTGTGCGTTCAAAGTATCTCGCCTTGTCGGGTTTTGTGTCTAGGTAGTTTTAGTCACGATGGTACTTGTTGGTGATCAGCTGCAAGATGAGAATTTGTTCAGACTAGAACTTCAATTTTGCCCTCTGTCTTGCAGTATCGTTCTGGTAGCAGAATGCTCTTGTAATCCACTGACTGTGTCTTTTGTCAATGAAATCCAAGGTTATATACGAAACAGGCGGAACGATAAATGGTGCAGAAGGAGAACGAGCGAAAGATGCTCTTCTAGAGAAAAGTAAGGATTGACGCACTTTGATACGTCTGTGTGACGTAGTATACAGTATTTAACAACAAATTGTGTGAGGACATTACTAGTGGAGTGATTTATCTTATCTCATCGAACATCTGGCATTGCTCTATAATTATTTTTAGTCGGTAGTCTTCGGAGTGTTGGAGGGCAAGTTACTGATGGGATCTCTCGAAGTTTATGTCAGGATCGTGGTATTCGAGTGCCACTCGCTGCGCTCGTTCTCTTCTTAAACTTTGAGCACTTCAACTGTGGCCTTCAGACATTGGTGGATGTTGAGCCCTCCTTTCGAGTAACTGAGTACTTGTGTGCTGTAAATTTCTTCATAACTCAGCGATCCTCCAAGTATTATTGTACCCTGCAACCTGTATGATTGCACCTTTTTCATAAAGGAGGAAGTATTATTCGCTTGCCTAGTATGGGGCCTAGTTCATCAACAATATCTGTTGGAAGTGCATTAGACAGAGCGTATGAGAACCACGAGGAATTCTGTATTCAGCGTATAAGCTCGAGCTGAGCACTGAGTCGAGTGAATACCATAATTGTGGTTGTTGTTGCGATTGAGCTGATAATTGATCTAGGTTTTTAGCTAAGCTGGAATGATTGAGGTGGATGAAGAACTAGGAGTGTCATTGAATTGTTGGAAATGAAGGAGGCCCCGAGTCATAGATCATTTCTGTTGTTTTGCAGGAGTCAAGAGAGTATCAGGTGCCTGTGGTTTTTGTGATGTCCAAGATGGACAAAGATGCTCTTCGCGTTGTTTTCTCAGACGCCTCCCGTGTTGGATGGTCGCTTCGATCAGACATGAAGGTCTGGGACTCCTACTTTTCGGGATTAATCTTTGATGGGGTGATTTATCTCGGGTATATCGAGTTCTGTGGTTTGGAATTGGCTGGATTGACATTTTGATGGATTTTTTTAATAGCTGCATGAGTGGCTGGAGGGTTTTGCCGAGCGCTTGAAGGAGCGTACGAAGGAGGTCGCGGCAGAGGTCCATCGACTGGGGACAGAAACTGGTAAAGTAGAGCTGCATCTGCAAAACAATCTCAACAAATTGCGAGCTCTGTCAGCCACTCAATTCATCGAAAATGTGAGTCTTTGAAGCGATCGCATCCTTTGAATTGGTTTTGGGTCTATGCGTGCTTCATGCAGTCAACTCTGCCTACTCAGCTAACCAATGATACAGAATCGACTGCACCTACATTTATTGATTTGTGACCAAAACGATGTTCTTGCAGCGCGTTGACGAAGTCGATGAGGTTTTCGTTAAGGAGGTGGAGCAACTACCGAAGCAATCATACGTTGCGGGCTACGACTCTCAGATAATACCACGTTACAAGGAGGCAGTTTTGACAGCTTGGGAGGCGTTCGAAGGGTTTAAAACCAACAAGTCCGGTCTACAAACCTCGGATGTGAAATCGAGAGGAAGAAGTCAGGTGCTTGGAATCTTTCTCGCCACCACCTTTTCGGAGGTAGAGAAATCAAGTGTTTACGAGATTATGGGAGGTGAATGTTTTGTTGCTGTCTTTCTTCAATAAAAGATATAATGGGATATTGGAAGTCGAACTGATTTGAGCTGTAATATTTGGTTCTAGATTGTTCAAATTGGTGCATCAATGAAGCTACCCCATATCATTGGAACAGATGAATTCATGAGGGACAGCCACTGTGGTCTGGCAGGTAAATATCACTCCTCCATTTCAGCCTTTTCTCCGTTTTAATCGGGTCGGCTGCTTAATATTCATGCCCAGCTCATTGTGCTGTTTTAAAGAACTGCATGCTTTGTTGGCTCTGCCAACTATTTGAGCTAAAGATACCGTCCTTGATCTGCATTGTTTATCTGTAACCATCGGTTTTACTCGAGATCATTTGCAACAATTTTTGTTGCAAAGAGTGTACGATCTATTCAACGATAATGCTTCATTATGTTGTCATCGTCGAAGTGGTGTATTGATTCTCAACCGGTGCCTGTTGTTTTTATCGATGCATGTCGCTTGAAACCCTGAACTTTTTCATTAATCACTTTTCAGCAAACTTCAAAACTCCGGAGGTGTATACAAGAGCCGCAAGGTCGGATGCTGAAAGTGGTAGTGACACCGATAGGGATGAAGCTAATTTGGCTGAAGAAATGGTGGGTGGACGCCCCTGGTTGGAAGGAGAGTGGTCTATGTCTGAAAGCGAAACATCAGGCCATCAGGTTCGTGTTCAACCAATTGCTCTTGAAGTCATCTAAAATTAAATTTGTAGCGAGTTCATACTACTAAACGCTGACACCAGGCATGCTTCAATCAACAGGGAGGTGTTCTAGAGCCCGCAGTCTCAGCTGCTCTGGATTTTAAAGCCATGTTGGAGGCTGCTCTGCGTGGACCATCTTTCCCATGTAAGTGAACTTTTCTCAAGATATTTCATTTACTGGCTACAATGGGATACCTTTCTAATTTGAAAATGGTTCAATGTGAACATGGTTCTTACAGCAGATGTCCATCACCGTCTTGATACTCCCGTCACTTTTTCATGTAGTCGGTGGCGTTGTTTAATTTACCTAGTAAGATTTGCTCAATGATGATTTGAAAAAAAAGATTGATATCTGTTACTTAATTCACCATGATGCGTAGCTTTAACATGATCATTGTGTTGTTAATGTGATGTCTTACTCTGTTAACATGCCTTTGGAGCTTCAAAATTGAAGCTGTACGTGGATGTCTGGGAATTTTTATCTGACACGTGTTTAATCTGTCAGATGATGGAGGGGTCATACCAAATCTGGGGAATGCACATGAGCAGCACAACCACATGGACATTACATTAGTTCCACAAGAAATAGACGACGATTCTCCGAGGTACAAATGACTCTCATTGGTTTTCTTGTGATATTCGAGTTACATGTCACAATTGCTTCGCTAGTGTGGTTGGCTTTTCATTTTCAAGGAGTTGTTCATTGCAAGAGGTTCCTCAGCTCTCAGTCATGCATCGGGTACGCTATTGGGCTTGATTGTTGGGTAGTGCACTCAACCAACTTCATCTTCATAGTGTTTTCTTTTGATGTTATTTTCAATCAAAGAAAAGTAATCTGTTTAGGCAAATGAGGCTCTGATTAACCTGGACATTGTGAAGTTCGTTGGCAGAACAAGATCTGAAACTGGAGAGGTTAAGTTGGATGTGGGCTTATCAACGAAGAATGAACAGATATCCGTCGAGGACAACATGCAACCTCTGGGTCAACTGCTAACTTCACCGGCTCCAGTGGTAGTGAATAAAACAGTGTTGCTACGACCTCCACTTCAAGTATGATCTCTCCACATGGTCTACTGTTCTAACATGGACATGTATTACATTGCTAGTTCGTATGTCACTGACTAGTGATGTCATTTTTGTGGGAAATTACGACACCCTTTCTTGCCTTGATGTGGTTTTATCTTCCATCGGTGTTGCAAGGTCGCTTCTAGAGCCTCCGTCTTTGTTACTGAGACGTGAAATATGATGCTGCAAGTCTCGGTGACCATCATAGCTTCTTTGATCTGGACCATGTTTCTACCTCATATACAGCGGCTAGAATTTGCATGTTTTGGTTCCTTGTCTTTGTAGCAGCGACATCTAGTCTAATCAATTGGAATCTGGCTAGATCCGTGTCTTATCTTATTCTTATTTGGTTCACTCTTTGGATTATCAGAGTAGAGAAGGGCTAAACAGGATGTATATGTTCTCAGGTGCCACCTGCATTCAATAGGAATGACAATGCGCAGGTCATCGGTTCTATGGGTCCACGAAGCTCTTCGTCTTCAACACCGGATTCTCATGTTCCCCAAGACGGATACTCTGGTAAGCTTGTCCCCTCTAACGGGGCAATTTCTAGGACTGACGCAACGAGTATTCCTAAAGGCTCATCGAGCACTCCAAAGATCCAGGATTCCACAGGTTCTAGCGTACCAATTACCTTGCGTACTGAAGAGAATAAGCCTCAAGCTGCTCCACCGGCTTCGCGGGTTTGGTCACAAACATCAACTGACGACCTTCCAACCCCAACCCTTCCAGATGGTTTGTTCCAAGGGTTACAAGTAGCGATTCAAGCTCGGCAATTGAGATCACAAGCAGCGCAAAGGGATGAGGCTTTGACGTTGAAAGAGGTCACGCAGAGGCCAGAAGTTTCAGGTGAGGATAAAGTATCAAATTCCTCCAAATCTTCTAGTGGAGACAGGTTATCACCATTGAAGCTTAAACCTACGAACAACAAAGGTTTTGTCAACAAGAGCAAGGGGGAGACGAATTCAAAATTACAGGAGTCGAAGGGGCAGAGATTACAAGGTCCTATTTCATTCCAAGGTGGCCTGTTTGATGACGATGACGACGACGATGATGGCGTGGGTAAAAGCACTAACGACATGCCTAAGGGAGTCACAGAAATATCTAAAAACGAGGCTGCAAAATCTGCTGAAAACCCAAACTCTCCATTTAGGGGATCCAAGTTGAGCCCTAGTAGAAGTATGGTTAGACAGGATCTTTTTGATGACTTCAATGATATATCCATAGGATCTCCAAGTGACTCAGAATCAGCCGGAAACTCGGCACTCGTAGGAAATACTACCGAACAACCACTCTCATCGCTTCCAGCTTGGAGAAATACAAAGAGATCGAGTGCACTACAGAAGTCGCTATTTGGTGATAGTGACGACGAAAACAGCGAATAATTATACCTTGTTTTGTACAAGCGCTACATTTTTGGTGCCGAAATGGTGGTGTGCATACATTCAACGCATTGCATCCCTAATGGATTCTCAATACACAAGAATGGCAGCACTGGTAATTTATCCACCGTGCGATTCTCTTTGATGAGCTTCTGATTCATTTCTAGAGCCCAAGGAGGATTCGTTTCCACTGAGTTGTCAGTAGTGTGCAACTCTAAGCTTCCATTGTATCTTTCAAATGAGCCTAGTTTCCAGGTGCTTGGCAGCCCTGTCCCGGAATTTCTCTTCAGCAGTCCTTTTATTTGAATAAGTGCTTGTTCTGATAATCAGAGCCTCTTGGAAATAGAGAATGCGAATGGGTTAGCCTGGGCAAACCAGCTGGACTACATAGTCATTGAGGGTCACCGAATCAAAACCATTTTGATGAAAAGTCGTAAGAATCTGACTGTCTGGAGGTTTACAGTTGTTTCCCAACAAGTTAAAAGCTATGGGCCAGAAAAAAATAATGGCCACAACAAAATGCCTTTGATTGAGACAATAATTTGTCATCTCTGTACTCTTTCAGTTCATTCATTGTCCATTTCTTAATCGAAATATTTGTCTTAAATTTTGTAAATTCATCAAAGGTAGTCTAAATGATCTCCAAGCAAAGTGATGTACTGCAATGACTGTCTTTTATACATTAATATTACCATAATCATGACACGATTTAAACCATCATATCCTTAAAATTTTCATATAAGTTCTGGATAAAGTATTCAAGTTGTGCTTGAAGTATATTCTTTTGGTCTTTCGAAGCATTGTTACAATGGTAGCAAACAGTTTCTAATGTAAACAAACTTTTGTTTGTTATGGGATTCTAAACTAAATAGTAAGAAGTAAAGTTGACACACTATCTCATCTTCAAAATATTACAGCTATCACATTTAGAGAATAGAAATCCTCTTTAAGAAAATGGTAGTTTATTTGGTTTTTTCGTATTGAACTTAGCAGCACATGAGTTTGGTTATAATTTTAAGAATGAAAGCACTGATATGAATGTAATATTTGTTCAATATTCTGAAGGGGTATATATATTATTTAGATGGGTCCAAAGTATATTATTTTGGACCCATCTAAATGCACCTAGAGGATGATATGATACTAGCTTGATGTATCATATTTATCACATTCATCGTACACAATCTAAGGGAACAATTGCAGAAGTTCAGAAAAATCTCATATTATAAGACGAGAAAATTTGGAATAAAAATACAGAGTTTGCCAAGAATAATTGCAATCTATTCTGGAAGTTGCAGTACTCATGCACCGAATTCTCTCAACAAGCCAACGATGTCTGTTCCTTCCTGGATGCAGAAATCTAAATAGTACAAAACTCCAGGTTGGCTAAGCCATCATAACACGGGCATCTCCCAACGCAAACGTTGATCTCATGTTGAAGAACTTATTGACTGGATTTAAGCCGCCACGGTGGCTTCCTGGGGTCTCTTGCTAGTCTTGATACCTTTGATAGCTGAAAAAACATACACAACAATACCAGGGATGCAATTTCAGTCGAGTTACTTCATCCATGTATTGTCAAACGGAAGTACGGAATGAAGTGCACACGAACAGAATCATAATTCAGGCTGAACTTGCAATTGTATCTTACCTTCAGCGTAGTCCTTGGCTCCAAAGACCGCAGATCCTGCCACCAAGGCGTTGGCTCCAGCCTCAATAACCTGAAATGGAAAACCATGACGTTAGCAGAAAGGGAAGATATCGCCCTTTTCTGTAGAACTGCTGAAATTGAACCCACTGTATTAACAAATACACTAGAAAATGGGCTTAGAAGTTGAACCAGCACTAAATACAGACTAGAGAATGTATACCTTGTAAGCATTCTTGGGGGTGACGCCACCGTCTACTTCAATCCATGGGTTCACACCCTGGGTCACAGGGACAGACAAAAACCATCTGAGCGTATGGAATAACAATTGGGCACATAACCATTTAAGAAGTAAAAGCTCCTGTGAAATATCGTCAACCAATCCAACCTACTTACCTTCTCTGCACACATTTTCCGGAGGTCAGCGATCTTCTTGACCTGAGATTCGATAAAGCTCTGCCCACCGAATCCAGGGTTGACAGACATAATCAAAATCAGATCCACACCTGCGCATTTGAGTTCGATTTTATCAGAACTAGAGTAGTATTTCTTAAATGAGTTCCGACGAGTGAGGCCAAAACCCCGCAATCGAATGCATCCGTTTGAAGGAACTACTAGGCTTCCAAACTGTATCCAGGTAGGTTCAGTGGATTAAAAGTAACAGAGATTCTACCGATTAAGCTATGGAAATTTCAATCATCAGACACTGGACGAAAAAAGCGCAGTCTACGTTTGAAACTGGTCGTTCATTGAGACACGATAATGCCTTATACTTGATACAAGGGAATTATTGAAGTTGCTTACAGTCGAGAACGTATTCAATTTGAGACAGAGGTGTTCCAGGGTTGAGCACCACTCCAGCCTTAGCTCCCAAACTTTTAATCTGCACGTACAAATTTTCATTCATGGGGAGCAGTACAACACAACCACAAGATAAACAATAGAATGTTAGTGATTTGCACCGTCTTCACTTCAATGAATGGGTGGGGAGTATCGCAACAAAAGGCCTTCCTACCTGGTTGATGGTACGGTGTAAGTGAATTGTTGAAGCATTTTCACAATGAACGGAAACAATATCAGCACCAGCCTTGATGAAGTCTGGGACACGCTGTTCTGGTTCAACAATCATCTAAAAAAAAAACAAGAAGCGTCAATGAAACTCTCGTCTGGTACTCCAAAGCGATCGTTATCATGTAAGTTAATTAAGAGATGAAATAAAGAGAGAAAGAAAGAAAGAAAAGAAAAGAAAAGATATAGACTACACCGGCCAAACACTTAAATACAAGAAAGGGCGATATTCTTTTCCAATTAATACCCTAATTCTGCTATTCCCATTACATTGGTTCATTCCATAATTTATTTTGCTATCCAAGACTGAGACCAATCCTCCGTGTTAATGGTTAGAAATTTAATCCGTAAACTAGATTTCTGTAGACAAAAATGACACTTGCTTCATGGTGAGGTGTCTGAACAAAAACCGAGATTACTAACCAGGTGGACGTCAAGAGGTAAATCAGTTACTGGACGAATGGCATCCACAACAAGAGGACCGATTGTGATGTTGGGCACAAAGCGGCCGTCCATCACGTCGACGTGAATCCAATCACATCCGGCGTTTTCAACAGCTTTGATCTATCAAAACACAAGGACACATTAATCAATGATAACAACGGTCCGGGCAGAATTGAAAACAAAGAAATGTAACTCAATCTAAGGCCTGGGCAGATAGAGCTAGGGTTTGTATTATCTTCCTGAAGTAGGATCTCGTGATCGAGAAGCAAAGAAAATCTAGAGGAAGAGATTGGGAATCCTTGAATACAAAGGGATTGTAGTTTTCGTCCCAAGTTCCAGCTTCTAACTTAATTTATGTTTCCATCATAACAACACTGTAGAGGAGTAAATTCTTAATGGCAATTTATCAAGGTAAACATCTCCTAGACATCAACAGATCTTTATTCCCAGGATGCAAACATCTGCTGTTGGTTGGAGAAATATGAAGGACATGAGCTCAAACTATTCGCGGAGTCTACCAAAGTACCTGGTCTCCCAGGATGGCGAAGTTGGCTGATAGAATCGAGGGCGAGACGATGATGTCACTCTTGGAGAATTTATCGACGCGGTGAGTTGCCTCAACTACTGGCATCGCCACCTTTCCACTTCATGCATCGAAAATAAAAAGTTAATCGGCATTTTGGTCTGGGCCCCGTTTGCCAACTGAACCGGAATGGACCTCGTAAAACTTAGGAACTCTTTCAATGATCAATACAAAATACCAACTGCAGCAAGAATCAGAGCTTCGTTTTCAGGGGAGCATTAGGGTCAAGCCGGAGCGAATTCTGAAAACATCTCCTGGGACAACTCAGCTTGAAATCAGGCTCACAAAATATCCACACGATACACACGAAGTTTTCTCAAAGTCCACGAAGCCATGACAACGGTGCACACTGATTACAATAAAAACACGCACCTTGAGGTGCCGGAGACTTTGACAGAGCGCGTCTTCTCGCTCCAGAAGCTGCTCTGCACGTCAGCGGACTTTACCACACGCCCTCCTAGAGCGGCCGCAGACATCGCCATTGTCGCCATCTCTCCTTGCTTCCTCAACAGCCTACCCAACTTCGCAATTCAATTCCTTGCACACACTGGGCACACTCACCAAGGTCGAGACGGAGGTTGCTAAGGGAGAATAGAGCTGAGCCAGGTAATTGAAAAATTGAGGAAGACTCGCAAATCTGTGTGTGGTTCGCTGGACTTGGAATGACATGGGAAGAGTGGATGAGCGTGGCTGGACAAGATAAGGGAGGGACGAGCGCATTGCTGGGAACGCATCCAAAGGGCCGCCAGAAGCCAAATTCGAAACAGGTGGCTCAGGATTTGCCAACCTTGGACGAGCAACGTCCGTCCAGATGGTCGACGATTTCGGCCCAATTTTGTCTGAATTGGGTTCTTGGCAGTTATCTGAATCCACATCGTGCGCCGGATCTAATGGTTCTGGATTCTCGTTCATCTTTCTGGAACGAATTTGCTGAATGTGCTTGGAATTTCCCCTCGTACTGGTGGTTTCTTAGCTATTTTCGATGCAAGCCCATCATTCGATGATATCATATCTTCAGTGATGTGTAGGCACATCAGGTTTTACTAGCCCAAACTGAACACCGTTTAAGCATGCTTGCCTCCACCCATACTTTTACCGGCTTGATATTGAATGGTACAATGGTATGAAAAGGAGCGTTCTGAATGCATGCAGCAGCTATGGTGCGATGTAGTTGTGGTATAATGGATTAGTGCGTCTGCCACAGCACTCATAGACAAGAAATTTTCGCAAACATGATTAGAATGCTGCATTATTGCACTGGAGAATATTGACGTGGAGTTGGTCGTCTACATTGGATCTTATTGGTAATACTAGTAAGACAGAGTCGTAGTTTATTTTGTATGGACAATCAATGCAGATGACAAGAACAAGTTCACTTGGCTGCAAAGTGGCCAAAGCAGCGTACCGGGACAGACTCCATTTTAAGGGGGAAAAGACGTTTCGCCAAGAGAATGACCTTTACTAGCAGTAGGATAAAACGATACATTTTCGAGGGCATCAGTCCGACTGCCAAGTAAAGCAGGGAAAAACCTCAAGCTCCAAGGAATTCTAATCAAACAGACTGAAACCCATGTCATCATCAGACTCTTCCTTCTCTTCGGGCTTCTCTTCCTCTTTCGCAGCAGCTGCTGGTGCTGCAGATTCAGCAGCGACAGGAGCAGTGGCAGCTGCGAACTTCGAGGGGTCCTTGAGGTACTCCTTGGTCTTCTCGGCGAGGGGGAAAGAATACTCGGTCTCCACGGCAATAGCCAACAAGTTCTTGTACGCGTTGACAAAGGAGTGAGGAACAGCAGCCAGGGTTGGGTAGTTAAGGGCCAGAGACACCGCGGCCACGGTGGACACACCTGCAGCGAACTTGTCCAAAAGATCATCCTCGGTCAGGTCCAGCACCTCCGGCGCGAACAAGGATCCATTGTCGTAGATGTTGACAACAACGAGACCGTAGGAGAATGGCCGGATGCCAAGCTTTGCAAGAAGAGCAGCCTCGGATGATCCGACCTTGTCACCCTTGTGGACGAGCTCTACAGGAGCAATAATTTCGACAGTACCCTTGTTAATCTTCGTGGGGATGTTGAGGACCTGATAATCAACACGCATCAGGTGTCAGAAACGGAAAGTGGACAAAATATCAGATGTCACTGTGAAAACATGATATCTGCCATCAAGTGCGTAATTTAAATCTCACCTGGAAGAAAGAAGTCTGAGAGGGATCCAGACCAGTGTTGCCAGGAGGTACAATCACATCAATGGGGGCAACAAGACCCACACGCGCAGGAGCTCCGACCTTGTACTTTCCAATCTCTTCACGGACTTCCTTTAAGTCGCCCTTGGTAAAGATAAGGCCAACATTGCCCTGTTGAAAATGAGGGCAAACATTGGTAAGAACAACTTGTTCCAATTCAAGCCTCTAATGGCTTGAAAAGAGGCTTTCAACAAATTCCACTTCAACATGTTAACTATTCCAGAATGTGTTTTTTAGCTTCGAAACACCTTCGTCATTGACATCTCGTTTTACGATCGCAAGTAGATGAAAGTGATCAGCAAGTTTGAAGCAATAATGTGCCATCATTGTGACCGTCAAACCAATAGAGAAACAGTAGTTCATCACCTCACTGCATCAGTGGGTGCTATACATTACAGTCACAGCCAACTGGACGACATCCAAAGGGATGTTTCAGCAAGAAGAAGAGAATACATCGAATACTGCACCCATCAGAACTGAGGAAGCAGAATAACCTAGAAAAAAATTGAGATGATGCTTTCTGACAAAATTAAAAACAAACAAACAATCAAAACAAAACAAAACAAATGGACAAGAATGCCGAAAGAGCGTGTCTAAAGGACACTGAGGCGAGTTCATGAGTGATCGGCAAGTTTGAAGCAATAAGGTACCATCATTGCGGTTGTCAAACGAATAGGGAAATAATTGATCATCATTTCACTCTACGACCTATGCCATGAGTAATTAAAACCAGTAGGACCCAAAAAACACTAAGCAGACCGAACTATCACTAAGAACGCTGTGCCACCAAGAGTGGTCATAAAAGACTCACCACAAGGGCAGGGAGAAGCTCCTCATAATCCTTGTTTCCAGTTTTCTCGGCATGGATACGAATGGAGCGCTTCATCATGGTGTTCTTCCCCATGAGCACAATAGAATCTGGCCTCAAACCCTTGCGAATGCTCTGCAGCTGCTTGGACCCAACATTGTCAGCAGCACAGATCAACACCTGCGTGTATTCCTCCAGAAGCTGGATGAGCTTCTTGTCATACAAAACCTTCTTCTCAGCCTTAGTGCCCTTGAAACCCATGTCGACCAACTTGAAGATAGCAAAAAGCTATTATCCCTCTAGAGTTTGCACAAATCAACCCACGTCTGCAAAAAAAAAAAAAGCAAGAATACTGGGCACAGGGGGGCCAAGCCGTGATTAACCACGGACAAGGTGGGCAGAAGGGTGCCCTTTAACCCTAGAATTTGTGCGTCGAAGCAAGAGAAGGAACAGCAACAAGCTGTGGCAAAGTAGAGATGAAGGACTTTGTCCGTCTTCACAACGCTTTATGAGCTTAGACGTTTGGGGTTTGTGCGCGGCAATGGGCTTCCCTCAAGTTCAATGCGGAACCGTCCTACGTAAATCATCCAGTTAAACATTCATCCAAATCTGAGACCCGGGCACCGGTCTCCGGTGGGTGGAGGGGATTAACTGGGTCACTCTGGCATAGCCTAGTCGACCAAGTTAATGAAAGAGAACCCGACCTCTTATCAGTTTTAATTAGGGTTAATAATTTCACCTGCCAACTAATCTCTTCGAATATATGTGAAGTTTTGTTCTTCATTGGATACTTCATGTGTACATTGTTCGCTTTTTCAGCTGTAGTTTATTCATTTCTTGTCATGTCTCACCGATGATAGCATGCAAAACATCTGAGGGCTGTGTTTCTGTTCAATTAAACAAAAATCATTTGTTACAATTTTTTAACATTTGTATTGTATGCAGTTTCAATAGTTTGAATTGATTAATTAACTCTTTCAACATCACACATCTCTGATATCTTGAAATTAAATCCTTTTGCAGTGTAATCTTTTTTTTTTCTAACAAGTTTTTTTTCAGAAATTTTAGCTTACTTTTGGATTAAAATGTTGTAATTGTTTACTTTTCGTAGTTGTGTTTCATGAAAGGAAATGGTGAATGATTTTATTTGACAGTACTTATCACAACTTTTCTTGACAGAAGCCTCACTAGTTCAGAATGACAACCCCGAATGGTATGGAAGTGTGTAGCAATTATGAAATGGTTACAAGTAGTGTATATTATTAGGGTATTGCTAACGTTATCACGGTTTTTGCTATCGCCACCACAATCCACCATCCATTCAACTTATTTTATTGTAGTTTTTTTTCTTCTGCTCAAAGATTTGTTAATGCTTCTATTTTTAAGTATTTCTTAAAATTATACAGAAACTAAGTTAACCTAGTTTTATAGTGTAGTAATTTTTTCTTACTGCTGAAAATTTCAGTCTAAAACACTTATTATAGTTTTTAATGTACTAACAATATTACACATACATACATACAACTAAAAATTACTTTTTTATTTCACATTGAGAAAAGGTGACATGTGATGGATGGGGGATTGTGGTGATAATGGCAAAACGATTTAGTCATACCAAATTAATAACTCAAGAAGAAAAAGAGGCCGTAACCTGATGCTGGTAGAACTCTCAAAAAGTGGATTCGAATGCAAATCGTTCTTTCATCAATCAACATAAGAACGAAATTTCCACCATAAAAAAAACTCAAGCACAGGTTTGCAGCCGAAAAACAACTGGAGAGTAAGAGAAGTGATTTCCTTCCAAATAAGAACACTCGAGTCACGGCGAAACTCGAACTACATTTAAGCAGAAGCCTTGAGAGCTTGGGTTCGCTTCTTAGCCTCCTCCACGATTGAAAGCTTGATACCCTTGCCACGGGGTAGAGTGATCCAGGGCTTGGTGCCCTGCCCAACAGTGAACACATTTCCCATTCGGGTGGCAAACTGCTGCCCAGTAGAATCTGTGACGTGAATAATGTCAAAACTTCCTTTGTGCTTCTCACGGTGTTGAATCACACCAATACGCCCTCTGTTACGCCCTCCAGTTACCATGACGATGTTACCAATATCGAATTTGATGAACTCGACAACCTTTCCAGTCTCGAGGTTGATCTTGACGGTGTCATTGGCCTTAATGAGAGGGTCGGGATACCTGGCACACAAAACGTCATGTCAACAAGGGAAGATAGAAAACCAACCCAAACGAGTCGGACGCATAATCTATATATGCCAGGCAGGCATAGAGACGACCTGCAAATGACGAAGTGGAGAAGTACACACACAAACGGAAACGAAAAAAAAAACACAACAATTCAGTACCTGATTGTCCGGCCGTCGAAAGTGGTAATGTAGGGAACGCCCTTATCCCCAAACTGAGCAGACCTCACCTTGCACAACTTGTACTGAAAAGAAATCCAATTATAAATAAATTTAGAAACAGATAAATACAAACGCTTGTGGGTTGATAACCAAACAAAACAACTAATACTCTTGCCAGAATAACTCGACATGGTCCCAAACCTAAGAGTTCAGATAATCCATGACTCACTAATATAGCTACACGCCCCTTAACTCGCCACAGATGACCATTCAAAAGGCGCTTACCTTCGCCTCCTCCGCACTGATGTTGTGCAGGGTGAAACGACCTTTGTTGTCATACAACAAACGGAAGTTCTCGTTTGTCTTGGCAATGGATATCACATCTGACAAAAGGGTAAAACAAAAGAAAATCACTCACAAGAAAGTAGAACGAGCGTTGATAGGTCACTACAACAATAAGCCTCTTGTTAAATACACTTGACAGAAAAGACTGAAAAATAAATTATAGTTTGATTGTGCCATTGACAAAAACCTCAATTCTAAACTAAAAACTCGAGCAAGTACATGCATCAAAAACACAACAAGTTACTCACCCATAAACCCTGCTGGATAACACTTATCAGTGCGGACCTTGCCGTCGATGGAAATAAGGCGTTGCATGACAATAGCAACCACTTCACGGTAGGTCAATGCATACTTGAGCCTGTTCCTTAGCATCACTACAAGAGGTAAACATTCCCTCTCCTTGTGTGGTCCTGGAGATGGCTTGGGGGCCTGATATAAACAACAGGCAATTCAAAATATAGGTGTTGCTACGAAAACTAGATCCAGCAGTCGAGTACTTGATATGGTTGCCTGCATCTTACATCTGGCTCGTAAACCAAACTCCAAGGTAATCTACACCTAGAATCATGATATAATTCCTGGATCAATGTGGTGACGGTATTCTCCCTTTGAAGGGTGTCACATTCAAACCAATACATCATCTAATTCCCATGCCAATGAAAACCATAATTCTGGTGAGGTTTCTGATGCACCCATTTTAACAGTCAGAAAAGTGGGAAACAACAAGACGAAGAGATTGGTCATAATGCAAAACTTACGAATGCACCACCCAACTTGTCGAGCATCCAATGCCTAGGGGCATTCAGTCGCTTCAAATGCTTCTTTAGACCCCGAGCCTGCCAAAGAAGTGTGACATCATAGTTAAGTGCCGAAGGTCGGAAGCAAAGAAAATCCAATTGACAAACCGACACACCTCCAGAGGGTCTGTCTTCGCCTCGAAACCTAGAGAAGGTGCAAAAATGAACCCACGGCTCTTACGACAACTGCGCATGCGTCATTTCATCCGCTTGATCCAAACTGATCGTGACATCACACCTACGAATCCATCTTCCTCGGTGCGTCGACGCACCGAAATCGACACAAAAAAACCATCAGCGGATAACCCTTCCCGTCGAAACCTCTAACAGCACCGCCTCCGTCCCATAATCAACACAAATCCGCACCAATTCTACAGCCTCGTGAGCACGGAATCAGGACCAACGACAAAGCCCTAAAATACAAAAATTCTTGTTTCTTCAAATTTCGACGCCGTAATCGGTAAAGAAAGAAGCTGGAAATGACAGAGAGTGAAAAGATGGCTTGTACCATGGTGGCGAAGCGGAGCTGGAACTCGCACGAAGGCGAGAGATGGCGGTCCTACTATGGGGACGGAGCGCAGACAGCGGTGCAGCCAAAAGACTGGGCTCAGCGCTCGGCTAGGGTTTTGTGAACAACGATTCAAGGTCCACGGTATTCGGTTGCCGTGAACTGGGACGTGTTAAACCGCGAAGACCTAATTTGCTGCTGGACCCATTCACACCAGGTTCTCGGAATACGATCGTTTGAAGGCATAAAATATGTGTACGTGTATAAATATGCTGGATCTGTGTATATGGGGTAAATTCACTCACCATTCTATGAATCATTTTAACTACTACTCTAAAAGACTTCATCTTTTTCAACATTTTTCATTTCGCATCTCATAAATCTGAAATTTTATGCAGTTAAATCGTTGACGTAAATTTATTGTGGATATTTTAAAAAAAAAAAAAAAAAAAAAAAAAACATATATTTTTGGGTTTTGATTACTATGGCTTGGACACTCCTCTTGGTCAATGTAAATCTATTATTTTTTAAAATGAAATAAAATAAATCATGCTTATTGAAAAACTGACAAAAATGGCCCAAAGTTCTTGTTGGGTATTAAAAAATATTAAAAATATCAAATTTATTGAGTATACAGTTTTAATTTGTGAATAAGTTGTAGAATTCTAGAGCATCCATCAAAGGTGACTTTATACACATGCTACATACATGTCCCTTAAAACAATAAATAATGAATAATAAAAAATAATAATGAATGTTATTTTATGTTTATTGTTAAAATTTGAATACATACGTATAGAAATACAATGTTCATGTAAATTTCAAGTGTTATTACTGTTGTTAATCTTTTTATCATTTATATGTATACAAATTACTTTATTTGATAAAAACATTAAATATCGTCTACATTTGCAAAAAATACAAATACAAATACAATATTTTACTTTTTGAAAACTCATCCAGATTTTGTACTCTCTCTAAGTAGAGTTATTTCTAATACTGTCTTTTATATATTTTTTGAAACCTCAGCAAAACAGCTTATTCATAAATTAAAACTGTATTCATAAATTAATATGAAATGTTGAAAATTTAAATATGCCTCTGGTTTTTGTTGACTTAGCAGTGCACATTTTGATTAATCTAATACCATTTCATTATTAATTGTACACCCAACCGGCAATTGAGAAAAGAAGTAATCTGAAATTATTATTTGAGTGTGTTATATACACAGACATGTGTACATTTTATTTATTTAATTAAATTAAATTTCATTTCATTGTTGGGTGCATCTTCATCAAATAATGGTAAAGACCCTTTAAAAGTCGTATTTCACTAATATTGCATTCAATAAAAAACTTTTAGGATGGGTTATTAAACTTAGTTTTTTACAACATCAACCCAAAAATAATGATATCTAGATTCATTTCTCTACTATTGGATCTGCTAGAAATAGAAACCAACCACATTCATCATGATTACCATCAGTGAATCTGTTTGATGAATGCATGGGTCTATTTACCTAAAAAAATTCTATAAATTTTGAATTTAAACAACCATTTGATTTATAAAATATAGGTTCAAGTTTTTAGTACCATATGGTACATTTAAAAATATTCAAGACAAGAAACATCAGAACTTATCAGACTTCAGAAAAAGAAATTCATTACATATACACATGCCATTTCATGTTTTCTACAATTTACTCTACACTTATTAATTTAATAACCAGGCAAAAAATCTAAATTATTTATATGCATAAACAAACACTTACTCGAAAACAATACAAGCTTAATTCATGTTCAACACTGTTTACAACCAGAGAACAATCCCAATTATCATCTTCCGGTGGCATATTTAAATTTTCAACAGTTCATATTAAGACCAACATGTGATCAAATTTTTTGAGTTGTTTGTATCGTACAACAAAAGCACCATCAACTGAGATTTCAATCCTCTATCAGTCATCTGGAAATCTGAGGCGGCCTCCACATTCAAAAAAAAATTCAGTTGCTGGAATAGAAAAATACCGCCCACTAATCCATGAAAAAAGACCTCATAAACTGGTGTAGGTCCACGACCAATAAATGAGAAGCTTAATCAGGGCTTAATATACATGTACCGAGAGGCAGCTGTCCGATGAATTTGTAGCTCAAAGAAATCCTAAACCTGACACATCATCATTGTATACACAATGGGAGCGTAAGAGTTTTCTTCATTGGAAGAAGTCTAACATATTCTAGGTCGCTTCCTGCCTCATCAGCAAAGATTGTCCTGCGCGGCCCAGTTTCCTGTAAGCATAAGACAAGAAACAAACTCCTGGTCAGGACTGGATTATATCAACCAAACACTAAAGACTTTAATGACGCCAACGTTCTATGGGTTAGGTTTCAGTGCGACAATCACCCTTGAGTCAGCTAAAACAGTTTCAATTACATTTTCATGCTCTCTGATCTTGTGTAGATGAAACCATTTACACAGACTAATTCAGTACGATGAGAGTGGATTTGGACTTACAATGAGACGACAAACTCGCTTGCTATCGCGACCCAGTTTCAGAATCTGAGCGATGGCCCAATCCTCTAGTTTGGCCGCACATTCCAGTACTCCTTTAATCTGTAGCAACGCACAGAACAGTTTTAGTTAACACGAACATTGGGTCATTAGAGGAGATTAGTACAAGGAACGGTTCACAGCGAATTATGCATGGACATGGAGATGTGAACACACACCTTCTCAGAAGCAGGCTCACATGAGTCGGAGATTCCTCTCATTCCTAAAGTCTGCTGACTGTCTTCTACCAGAGTGCGCATGCCTCGCATCTCCTGAATCAATCTGGTGATAATGTTCTCCGCCAGTTTCATTTGGGAACTTATAAATTCCCTCGCAACTATCGACCGATCACGTGTAGAGATGCACTTCGGGCATTTACACATCCCCCGGCAATTCAATGGCTCTCCACCAGTCTTAAGTATACTTTTCAGTCGTTCGGAAGGTTTGGTAGTCTCAGTTGAAGCGTTGGGACCGGCGGTTTGAGCATCTACCTCGATAGGTTATGAACTTTCAGTAAAGAGCAAGTCATTGACATAATCTTTAGGAATACAACAAACTTCGGAGACTTGGCTAGTTACATAGGGCTCCTTGTGTTCAGTGAGTACGAGAGTCGAGGGGGAGTTCAGAAGGAAACGGGCATATAAAGAAACTAGTTTAAGAAGTAACTTACTTGATTTCATTTGTTTGATCTTAAATTTGAAGGAAGGTTTCCTAGCTGATTCAGGCCGACTAGCTTTGAGAAGTTTGAACTGGGACTTGGGAGAAAAGGTCTGTGACGGCAAAAAAAAATCCAGGCGCTTTAGGTAGGAAGAACAGCGTGGTGGATTGGGACTCCAAACCACACACTGCAGGCAAAGTCTCTGCAGATTGCACTTGCACCTGCTAATTCCCGAAATAGCTTTCTCTGATTGATAACCCCAACATCCCTGAAAGATAGAACAAGAATACTCACCTTGCGGTTTCGTTTAGTGAATCCATCCGTTAAGTTGCTATACAGATCTGCCTCAAATGTCGATACATCAGCAAGCTCATGTTTTGCATCCCCTTCGACGCTTTCCCTAGAATCTTCATTGTAGCAAAGAGAGTTTGGTGATGATCCTGAAATTTCTGCATCACCTGTTGGAATGAGGTTGAGGTTCTCACTACACGTCTGTTCCTCATTATTAAGACGGAGATCTCCCATGACACGTGGGGTATCTATTTCCCCAGGATTACCAACTAATGTTAACCCATGCGAAAGACGACGCGCTTCGGAGATGTTAAGGTCTTCGATTGACATGCCACTACTTAGTGTTGTACGGGACAAAGTGGCTTCCTCCGCAAGGTTAACAGAGCTTGAAACATTGTCCGTTGAACACCACAAAGCATCCGTAGATGATGGTGAATCTTTATCTCCCCTGAGCGAAAGGGAAGGTCTGAGGCTAGGGATAGCCATCGTCCCCAAATGGCTACCACCCATGCTGTTTGGACTTGAGAGGATCACCGGCTCTGCAAGACTAGTTCTCTTTCTCTTCGAGCTATTTAAGCCACAATTCACGGAGGCCGACAAATGATTTGGCAACAAATCGTCTGATACCACCAGAGTGTCTAGAAGGGCATCGATTCTCTCTTCTGCAAGTTCTAATTCCGTTGGAGAAACTAATGATACTATGCTTTCTTCAGCAATTCCACGGTTCTCATCTACAGGTCCCTGACGTAGTGACATAGTCCCAAGGCTGTCAAGGGTCTCCCTACAGGAGCTAATTGACCCTAGACAAGCGCTGGATTCTTCATCACAGGTCCCTGAAGGAGTAAGTTGTGTTGTTTCAGAATTGAGCATCTGAACGATCGGTACACACAACTTAGCAGGGTCTAAATTTTTAAGATCCCTTCCAGCAAGTGAATTACCAGGATTCCTTGATTGAAGAGTTGCTTCATCGTCAGAGAGAAAATGATTGACATCCTCGTGGTGAAACTGTTCCATGCGTACCTGGGTATCGTCACTCCCATTGTCAGCAGCGACTTGCGAGGACTGATCGTCAAGCAGGATGATCAGATTCGAGGAATGATAACCTGCTGCAGGAGTGACGATCTCCTCAATACAAGGATCTGGATGCAAATATTTTTCCGTCCCTTCAACTGATGACTTCTCCAGCGTCAAATCAAGCGAGTGGACGAAATCGCTGCTCTCGGACTGATGATCGAGGACAGAACTTGGTGAGAGCAATGCCCCACTTTCAGATCGCAGCGCCGACTTGTCATCCATCCCGTCCACGCTCACACTCAACCGTGCCATACGATTCCCCACAGCTGAGTGGGAGGAAACTATTTCTGGTACCTCACTATCAATAAGTTGACACTCCCGACGCTCGCACATATCTTTGCAAACACGGACGGTAGTTGATGATTGATTGTCCCTACTCCCGGAACCATTTTGTGACGCTCCAGTCCCCGCCTCTGCGATTCGCCTCCTGACAGCTTTCAGATTCTTCTTGCGGCGCTGAAAGACTTCCATGTCCGTGTTGCCACTTGACGCCCTACCCTTAGTGCTGACACATCTTTTCAGATAATTCGAAAGAGTTTCGTCATCTAGTTGACTATCCAGAGGCTCGCTCGGCGCATCCTGCACCCGAGTACATGAGTGCCATTCGGATGTAATTCTTCTCCTCTTTGGGTTCCTAGATAAAGACTCAACTTTCACATGATCCACACTGATGACATCCACTGGAGGACACACTTCCGCTTTGGGAGGAGGGCCGCATTGTACGGTTTCTAAGCCTTCCACGCTTTTCCTTCGCTTCAAATCCAACACAAATTCTGCTAATGTCCTCTCACGCTTGGATACCCGTGCCTCAGATACTATCATAGATCTTAACTGGTTGCGGGTGAGCGCAAGCGCCGTTTCATTTTTAAAATCCACTTCACGAGCAAAATCTTGCACTTTTCTGACTTTGACAAGAGAACCACACCTAGCATTGATGACTTTTTGCACTTCCCCTCCAATCACGGTCGTCACATAGAAGAAATCACAATTGGAGGGATCCAATGTTGATGCTGAATCAAAAGCTTCAATCTTGACGGGAGATGCCATTTTAGAGTGACTCATAGGAATGACGGCGGTTCACAAGATACACCCCCGTGCCTAAGGAAAAGACCACCTCGAAACCTGCTGATAGAAGCTGAGACGTCAGGACGGGACAGTTAAGGAAAATGCAATGAACACAACGAAGTCTTTAGAATTCCGAAAGTCACATAATCATTCCGCGCATGCATGATCCGCCTGAACTCAACCCCCCCATGCCTGAATTGCATGCTGGAGTCGCATTATTGTAGCATGGTGCGAACTGGTCAGGGGAGGAAACAGAAGTTTTGGAAAACAATAAATAGGTAATTTGATAAATAAAACACAAATACACTCACAGATTCTGCTCACAATTGGCACACCAGTCTTCTCGTCCTTTCCACGGTTGTACACATTTCAGCACATACCAATTTAATCTACATAGACTTCATCCTCATGACATATTTCACCAAAAGATTAAAGAACGACGACTGAAAAAATTCCTCTGACGTAGGAGAGTAGATATCGAACTTGGTCATCTCGAGAAGTAATCAATTGTAAAACTACAACTGAGAAAAAGCATTTCTTCTTCATTACTCTTCGCAAAGCTCGTTCACAGTCAAAGGCAGGAGCTTCTGCACAACTGATTCTAGACCAGCGACGGATAATGTCACAGACGTTTACACCCAGACCCAAACAGGATAGGGCCTGCAACATGATCCTTCGCTGCATCCAAAATGATTTCCCTCGATTTTGAACGCTGTATACAGATAACAAGGAACATTCCTCCAGAAAAATCGGCGTCAGGGAGCACACAAAACCGACCAGCTTCAATGAACGAAGAGCATCTGGAAGTCGATGGGGGCAAAAGGTAACTGATTTCATGTAAGTGCTAGTAATGCCAACCACTAACACTTCACAATCGAAGTAAGCGAATACACGTCGGTACTTGTCAAGAAGCCAGTTTCAGAATCAGAGTCGCACTTCCATGCACTCTACTCTGAGTAAAGATCAACAGACACAACGGAAAACATCCTCGCCCACACTAGCAAGCTGTGCTCGAAAACTCAGAGCGATTCACACAGAACTCAACTCGCATCCGCAACCATGTACCAAAGCACGACGCCGACCAGATCATCACTAGGTTCACTTTTCTAGGAAACCCACACAAACACGAAACGGTGGATTTACCTGGATCATTTGGCACAGTACACAGATCAATCCAAAGGGGAGCAACACAATGTACTGCAAAAACGCCTTCGCCCACGACAATTGCCCGCATCAGCGCCCCTCTTCGGCACTTCGCCTCTGCAATAAGAAAAAAAACCCCGTAAGCTATCACAGTTCTGTACTCGCACTGGGCAATGTTCCCTCCGTGCGACAATGGCTGCACCCAAACACTACAAATCGATTCGGGCAACGGCGGAGGTCTCCATGCACATACGAGGACAAAGCTACCGAGCTACGAGACGAGGGAAGCGCGGGAAGAGAGTCGACAATTGGCGCCAAATGCGAACTGAGGATTCGCGGGAGCAGATGCTGATATCTGGGTTATAGAGACGTTGAAATCCGGGTATCCACTGATAGTCATCCTAACGGCACGCATACCCGTTCGGAGTCGAACGAAACCAGCTGATTTCTTTTTCTTTCTTTCGACTTTTCCACTTTTCTTTTTCTCACAGCTATGTCAGCCTTTTAAGCGACATCTTGCAGGTACTATTTACTTTTTTCTTTTTCTTTCGACAGCCTTTTTCTTTGCTTTTCTTTCTTTTCCTGGCCAAAATGACCAAACTGGATGTCTTCTTCTGTTCGTCCGACAAAAAAGACACAAATAAACTTTGTTTTTTATACATCAATGGAAGTAAAGTGACGTTATTGTTGTTCTTATCAATGTTTAAATCTCAAATTAAAATTTATGGATGTCAAAATAGTGCTGTGTATTTATCTAAATAACCAAGTAAAACTATGATTGATATTATTTTTTGGGGTCACAAAAATTCAGATATTATCATTAAAAAATATTGTAATATTCAGCAAAATTTAGAAATAGAATGTTTTATCACTAAAAACTTGTTAATGGTTTAGAAAAATGCTAAATAGACACCTCTCTTTTAGTGTGTGAACACCTCCACTTGTACCAAACATCTATGCATACACATAATAAAACTCTTATTGAAACTAAAAAGTTTTATGGTAAATTAATAGTGAATAATTTATTAAATAAAACCAATAAGTTTTTTAAAGTGAATAATTTATTAAACAAAACTAATAAGTTTTTTAAAGTGAATGAAAGAACTATATGAAATATATTATGAAAATTTTTTATAGTTAATAAATTAACTAATAAACAAAAAAATGCCATTAGCCATTGCATACAAATTTCTTTGTATAAATTTAGCCTAATTTTTAATTTATTATAAATAAGAGTTTTATAATGTATATGCAAGAATATGTGGCCTTGAGATATCTATAAAATAAGTCAAAGTAAGGTATCTACCTAATAACATATATTTTTTATAATTTACTTTATTTTATATATTTTTGCATTGAATTAGTAATAATAATATTTTTTGTTACACATATGACTTTATTTTTTAATCTGTACATACATACATATATTTTATTAAGTTTATAAATTATGATCAAATATAAATATTAAATATATACTTTTAAGCATTATTAAAAGATTGTTTAAATACATATGTAATTTCTATTAGATATTATGTGATACCTATATAGATGGTTGAAATCGCATTATTAATTGACAAATTTTAGTCATTATATTAGTTGGTAGTCAATATATAGTTATTGCCACCTACTAAGCCATCATGCATCTTAACAAGATGAATGTTCACATATCAATTGGACCTCAACACCTAAGCCAATTGTTAGTGTGTTTGTACTAGAAAATCCATGTCAATAGACAACAGATATACTATAAGAATTAAAATTGGAAACTCAAAACAATTAATTCTCATTAAATCTTATTCCTTGGATCTTCAGAACTCAAAACTTGGAATTCACAACATGTTTGATATTCAATAATGAACAAATCAAGTAAACAACTAAAGAATCTTCTATAAAGAATGCGGTCATAGTATTGATAGGACTAGACAGTGGGAAGACAAAGTGACAAAAATAATGAATGTACTTCAGAAATATAAAAAGTCTTTGAGAACTTTATATAAAAACTTTGATTTGAATCTACTAAAGGTCCAACAATTCTAAAGATTGAATTTGGAATTTTTAAAAATTTCTATACAAAAGCTATAAGTAGGTGTTAAACCTCATTTAGATTCCATTTCTATCCATCTTCTATTATCTTCTATAATCTTTTCTATTTATTTTTTATTTATTTTTGAGTACCTTTATTACAATGTGGCAAATAAATATTACATGACAAAAAAATTTGATGGATACAATTATCATCTTTGAAAGGAAAAAATCAAGTTCATTCTTATTGACAAGAATTTATGGAGGGTTGTTTATAGAAAGTAAAAGAAACTTTCTAAGTCAGTTTTAGATTTAATAGAGTTAAAAAAAATAGAAGGATATAGACCAAGGGATATTATCTATAATATGCCTACATCTTAAAAACATAAAGTTTTTGACCAAAATTTATTAAGGACAAGAATTTGATGAAGAAAAATAAAAAAATAAAATCTTTCTCAAAAAAAGATGAAAAAAATAGAAATAAGAAAATATATATATTTAAAAATAAACTAGAATGATTATTGCCAAAAGACAAGATAATTAGAGACCTTTGAAAGTATACTAGAAGGAAGAAAAGAATTAATAAGAATTAAGAAGGCTTTACTTTTGCCTCTATATATACCATCTATATAGGAGTAATGTATCAATGTTCTATAGGGCCTCCGACACATGCTTAATGTGTAAGATAGATGTCTTAATTTACAAGGCAAATTTCCTATATGTTGGCAACATGATTAGCTTATACCACAAGCTATCAACATATGCAATACATGGCTAATTTGTTGGCCTAGTTTCTAACTTATCAATTATCTATATACACATATAATAGTGAAATCACATCTATGAAGCTTCTCTATAAGATATTATTAAATTAATTTATTATTACCTACTTCTATTGTGAGTATCAAATTAACTCATTAGTTTTTTTAAGACAAAAGAATATATATGAAGTACCAAAATTACAATTTTTAGGTGAAGATGTACTTAGAGTATATTAGATGAAAGAAAAAAGTATTATTAGAAAAGAAATGGAGTCTTAGTAAGTCTTGGAGGTAATTATTTTAATTGATTTAGGATTTTTACTTATTATTGAGTAGTGAGTATTAATTATTAAGATCAATATCTATATTGATGTTTTATCTATATGTATTACTTATAAAAAACTATAAATATTAGTTAGTAGTTACAAGAAGTACAAGAAAGAATCTCATATCTTTATAATTATTTATAGAAAAGTAGGATTTATAGTAGTTTTAAATTAATTTGATTACTATAAAAAATCATCAAGGTAAGAAATTAAAGCTTTAAATTGATTTTAATATTATAGAAATATTATAGGAATTTTTAGAATATATTTAGAATATATTTAGAATTTATTTAGAATTTATTTAGAATTTTTAGAGTAATTTTAAGACTTTAGTAAAAAAATCCAAAAAAAAGATGATCAAAGAGAGTCTTATGACTTATGGAAAGACTTGATTCCTACTAATTCTGATGAGGATAAAACTCATACTCATTAATCTAAAGGAGAATTGAAGAAAAAAATAAGATTTGCTTATTTTGGTAAAAATGAGTAGATTCAATACAAGATAGTCAAACCTACTCCACTCAGTTGCATAGGCCTTAGATTATACAATTGAAAAGATGATGGAGAATTTATCCAATGATTAGCAAAACACCTTACTTCAAGTGTAGATGAAGTAATGAATGTCAACTTCATAGATGATTTTGCTACTTGGCAAAAATATGAAGGAGAAGTTGATTTATTAATCTTAGTGGATGTCATAAAAATTAAAGACGTCTTTGGGATGAACTTTGATGGCATTCAAAGCTAAGATTTAGAAGACATAATTGAAGATTTTGACCTTAATCTCCCTCTACAATTTAAACAAATTTTCAGTGGTCTTATGGCTAAAAATGATGTGGCCATCTATCCACTAATACCAAATATTTGGTAAAGAGGTCTTAGAGAAAAATCTCTTGTACACAATCTTGACTATAAATTAATGGATGTATTTTTGGAGAATGAGGATTCAAAACTCATCAAAGTAGAAATTCAATTGAAAGAGAATGAGTTGACAAGTTATAAATCATTAATCATAGAGTATAGAGATGTATTTACTTGGTCCTACAAAGATCTTAAGGACATACCTCTTGAGATAGTCCAACATCATATTTCACTTCTTCCTAATGTAATTCCCATAAAATATAAAGAAAGAAGAATGAATCTCAATTTACAACTAATTGTCAAAGCCAAATTAAAAAAACTCCTCCAAGTCTGATTTATTCAACCCATAGAAATCAAAGATTGGATTTCATTAATGGTATTAGTGAAAAAAAGAATGGAAAACTACGAGTATGTATAGATTATATGAAGCTGAACAAGTGTGTAGAATAGGTAAATAAACTTTGTGGTAAGTTATTGGTTGGTTATTGACAACCTTGAGAATTAGGCTGATGGTTAGGTAGTTTAGTTGATAACAGTAGGTTGTTAGTAGAATAAATAGTTAAGAATTCAAAGATTCATAACCTTTGGAATCCGCTGGCCAACGAATCATCTTTTTGGTAGGATAAATAGGTTGAGGAAAGAGCGATCGGGGCCAGACTGTGAGAATCGTAAGTCAAGGGCTATACTGAGAGTCGTAAGACAAGGACCAGACTGAGAGTCGTAAGTCGAGAGCCAGATTGTAAGAGTCGTAAGGCGAGAGTCAAACTGTGAGAGTTGTAAGCTGAGGGCCAGATTGTGAGAGTCGTAAGCCGGGGTAAGCTTGATGCTACCTCTTTGTTTTTTTTATTATTTGCTTATGAAGAATTGTGATTGAGAGAAATATTGTTGAATTGATAATCATAGAATGGATTATGGATTGAATTAAGATGAAAATAGTAAGCCTTGGTATTTTGTAGTTTGATAATTGATTTCAGATAGCCAGAGTACAGTCAATTGTGACACTAATAGACCCAATTCATATAACCAGTCTTTCTCCGTGTTCAAACCGACCTCTATTAGTTCAATTGCTTTGGTCTACTGAAGCTTGAACGCAACGAGAATAACATTTTGGCACTGCTGCCAGGGAAATGATAACAATATGAAATATTAGAAATTGATTATATGGGAGATGAAATTATATGTTAAATGAGAACGTGAGAAGAACCAGTTTTAGGATTATAAATATGTGAGTTATAATTCAAGGCAGTATTGATTTTGTAAAGAAGAATGAAAGATTATGAGTGATAATCATGGAGGAGGGATTATCAAAGAATTAATTGACAAAAAAAAGAAAGAGAGG